ATCTCATTATGTACGTGTAAAAAGTTTTTAATTGTATTTAATATTTCACACAGTTCAGAGATATTTTTGATAGCTCCACTGAGTAGGAGAAAGAGATTCTGTTCCTCCCAGCAACTGTGCCTTATGATGGCTAGATCTTAAATCCCAGACGGATCAAGCTTGATGTCTTCACAGTCTCAACTGGGGGATAAAGTTCCCTCTTCTCTTGATCAGGACTATAAAACGTTCTTCTGGGAATAGGAGTAAGTTCCCTGCCATCATTTCTCTCTGCTTGCTTTGACCAAGTAGAGATGGTTTTATTCCTTGGCCCAAGTACCATATGGCAGTCCTAGTAAGTAGGCTGTGACTATCCTCTGGCTGGCAACTTTCTACCTTTTTGTAAGATCTGGTGGAGGACTGACTGAAAAGAAGAAACTGCAATTTCCGTGGCCAGAACTCAGCCTTTGGATGTTCACCTCCCTCTAAGGAAAATTTTATTTCATTGCATTGAAAATTCTTTGATGGCAAGAATTATGTGTTTCCCATGTTCTCTAAGTACTTGTAAATTATAAAAGCATGTCATAATTAATAAATATTAATTTTAACTTAAAAAATCCAGTATAAGTAGTGGCTGGCTGGCTGGATCCTCAGAAGTAATTAAGAGGGGGTTTGGCTAAGGTTTCACTCTCAGGGTTCCCTCTAGCTCTAAGGCTCCCAACATAAGGAATGGTGTCAGCTGCTAAATTATGTTCTCGACCAAAATGGATCTCTATAATTGGCCAGGACCTGTCAGCTGCACTCTGGAGCCTCATAGCCATGTGTTCAATCTCCTTTCTTCCCCATTCTTGTTAGCTCACAGCCTAACTCTTCTGTGATACATTCAACTTAGGTGAATGCCAGTGTTTTGGTTGTTCATTTTTAAAAATCCAATAAAGTGATTTGGAAAAAGAAAATCTCTTGGAGAACAATTTGGAACTGTGCCCAAAGGGCTATAAAAATGTGCATATCCTTTGACCCAGCAATAGCACTCCTAGGGCTATATCCCAAAGAGATCAAACAAATGGGAAAAGGGCCCACACGTACAAAAATATTCATAGCAGCTCTTTTTGTGGTGGCAAAGAATTGGAAATTGAGAGAATGCCCATCAATTGGGGAAGGGCCAAGCAAGTTGTGGTATATGAATGTAATGGAATACTATTGTGCTATAAGAAATGGTGAACAGGCTGACTTTAGAAAAACCTGGAAGACTTGTATGGTCTGATGCTGAGTGAAGTGAGCAGAACCAAGAGAACGTTGTACACAATAACAGCCACGTTGTGCAATGACTAATATTGATAAACTTAACCCTTCCCAGCAATTCAAGGATCTAAGACATCTCCAGAAGCCTCGTGATGGAAAATGCTATCCACATCCAAAGAAAGAACTATGGAAGTTGAATTGCTATTTTTTTTTCTCTTCTGTGTTGAGTTTTGTTTCATCTTTCTGTTGGTTTTAATTTTTACTTACAACACCACTAATGTGAAAATATGTTTAATAGGAATGAAATGTATAGCCTGTATCAGATTGTGCACTGTCTTGGGGAGAGTGGTGGGGAGGAAGGGGGAGAAAAATTTTAAACTCAAAAGCATATGGAAGTGATTGTTGATGAATCAAAATAAATTAATAAAAAAATTTTTAAAAAATAAATAAATTTTGGGGCAGCTAGGTGGCGCAGTGGATAGAGCACCGGCCCTGGATTCAGGAGGACCTGAGTTCAAATCTGGCCTCAGACACATAACACTTAGTAGCTGTGTGACCCTGGGCAAGTCACTTAACCCCATTGCCTAGCAAAAACTAAATAAATAAATAAATAAATGAATGAATGAATGAATGAATGAATATTCTCTGCCTCCCTCCCCTGCCTCCTCCCCAAGATGATATGCAATCTGATATAGGCTCTACATATACATTCTTATTAAACATATTTTCACATTAGTCATGTTGTAAAGAATTAGAATGAATGGGAGGAATCATGAGAGAAAGAAAAAAACAGCACAAATAGCATACTTTGATCTGCATTCAGACTCCATGGTTCTTTCTCTAGATGTGGGTAGCATTTTCTATCATGAGTCTTTTGGAGATGTCTTAAATCCTTGTATTGCTGAGAAGAGCTAAATCTATCAAAGTTAGTCATCGCACAATGTGCCTGTTACTATGTACAATGTGCTCCTGGTTCTGTTCACTTCACTCAGCATCAGTTCATTTAAGTCTTTCCAGGTTTTTCTGAATTCTGCCTGCTCATCATTTCTTATAGCACAATAGTATTCCATTACATTCATATACCACAACTTCTTCAGCCATTCCCCAATTGATGGACATCCCCTCGATTTCCAATTCTCGGCCCACAAAAAGAGCTGCTATAAATAGTTTTGTAGATGTGGGTCTTTCCCCATTTTTATGATCTCTTTGGGATATAGCTCTAGAAGTGGTAATTGCTGGGTCAAAGGGTATGCACAGTTTTACAGCCTGTTGGGCATAGTTCCAAATTGCTCTCCAAATTACTTTTGAGACTCATCTTACCCCAAAGTTCTATAGAACTACCCTGAGTGATTAGATTTCCATGGCAGAGAGATAAACTTGGAGGTTGATGAAGAGGCAACCCCCTTTCCTTCAGACCCACATGGGCTAACCAATTCATGATAAAAGAAGAGGGCAAAACCCAGATTTTTTTTTCATTTCCCATATCATTCCTTTAGATATTTGCTGCTCCTTTCAGTGGACCAGTGGCCTTAGTCCATCCTAGTTTTGCTGTCCTCTGTGCTGTCTTTAGGGAGAAAAAAAGGAGGAGGAATTAAGCAGAAAACAGCTGTTCAAATAACCTTCTTCCAGTCCAGCACAAAGGAGCAACTCCAACCTACAATAGTCCAAGTCAATCAGTTCATCCCCAGTTAAAATGGTATAATCAAAATAGCAAGCAAAGACTCACCACTTGTGAGCCCATCAAGCTAATCGAGAATTCCACTGACCAATCCCCAACATACAGATGAGAAAACTAATGTCCAATTTGGTTAAGGGGTTCTCATAACGGAAGCATTCTACGTCTGTGAAGGTGAAAAGACCAGCAAGAGAATTCACTGCCCAGAACGAAGACTTCTTCAATATCCTTATCCCCAAAAATCCTTGAATAAGACACCAACAGGAATCTGGGAAGTGTAACTGTCTGATCACCATAAGTAAGCATAGAGTACCTCACTGGGGGAATGTACTCTGAAGCTAGATTACTTGCCCAACAGAAGTTAGACCTCCAATACTTCCTGCCGGGAAGGGACAAACCTCAGAGCTGAGGGAGTCAAAGAAGAGAGACTTCTACCAATCTGAGGCTAACGGTCATTCTCTGGCTGAAAGGAGTACCGCAACAACCAGCTAAGCCCAAGACTAGAGGTTGTGAAGATGGAAACTGCCCACTGAAGACTGATTCCATTGGGTTAACCCATCCAAAAGAGACATAGTCCCTGGAAGAGAGGTGAGCAGCCAGGTAATTGTGTAGCAGTAGCTACCCAGTAGAAAAGCAAACTGCCCAATCTAGCCTGACAGCAGTCTGATGGACAAGTAATCTGCCTCAAACCAGCCCAATAGTAGCTCAGTTCAGTAAAGAACCAAGCTATCAGCAGCCTAGTGACCTGCCCGGCCCAACCCAGGCCAGCTGTGGGCGGACCTGTCCAACACAGATTGCATGCTCTATGAGGAGGCAGTCCAACCTAGCAGCAGAGTGAGTGGGAAAAACTTCACCCTGCAGTCAACTTTCTGAGGATTTCCCAAAGAAAGAACGCCTATCAAGACTCAGCTGTTCCTGAGTCTCCTTGGGCATGGAGTATTCCCTACACATGTTTATATCATTGCACTGAATTCATCCTACGTTATCCCCCCAAGCAGTTTGTAACAGTGGGAGAGTGAACCCCAGGCTGGGAGTTAAGTGTCTTGTAACTACTCTTCTTCCTAGGCTATTTAAGTAAATATCTTTTCTAAGGCCTAATTAGTCTACTTGCTGATTGTTCAGGGAAATTCTGGTAGAGGCTTATAGGCTACAGTGTTATGAGGCAAGCCTACCCACAAGGGGCACCCCCTGAACCAAGGAGGTAGCAGTCATCTGGAGACCCAACCTGTCAGTGCGGTTGGAAGTTAAGGAAGGGGGGGGAGGCTGAAAAGTCATTGAGATATTAGGTAGCAATAGGAATCAGATTCCAGTTTTCATCATCTGACTGCAAATCCACCACTCCTTCCATTAAATCTCTTGCCCTCTCTTTTTCACTTCCTTCCCTTCACTTTTTCTTTCTTTTTTGCCTGTGCCTCAGACCTTCCAGCAGCACCCATTGTTTTGAGAGAGAGTCTGCTAATGCTTAGAACTAGAATTAAAGGGGGGCTATTCAGCACTGCCTGGGTATCTAGGTGGGGGGGGGTGCACCACAATAAATAACGGTGAGTGTCTGGCAAGCCAAGTAGCTCCAAGAATATTCCTCAGGGAAGGAGTGTCCCTGAAGTCTGTCTGATCACCCCACCACACCCCCTATCCCCAGCTTCCTACCACCTCCTTGACCTCCCACCTTCCTCTGGCCCGTTCACCCCAGATCTACAAACTCCCTCTTCCCCAACCCTCTTCTTCCCTTCATTTTTTGTTGTTGTTGTTCTTTTGTTTTGTTTTGGCTAAGCAGTGGGGTTAAGTGACTTGCCCGGGGTCACACAGCTAGTAAGTATTATGTGTCTGAGGTCAAATTTGAACTCAGGTCCTCTTGAATCCAGGGCCGCTGCTCTATCCATTGCGCCACCTAGCTGCCCCTCCCCTTCATTTCTGTCCCCACACTTCTGTGGTCTCCCTTACCCACCAACCCTGCCTTTTCTGTTCTATTCCCGGCCACAACCCCATCCCCTTGATCACTTTTCATTCCCTGTGGGCCTCCCTTCCAATATCCCTACGTTGGTCTAAATTCCATGCCACGCCCCACCCCCTCATTGGTCTCCGTTCTGTTCCATTCCCATTGTCTCAATGGTCTCTGTTCCATTCCTGTGCCCCACATCTCCTCAGTCTCCCTTCCCTCCCTCCCCCCCCTCACTGGTCTCCCATACATTCCATCCCTCCCCATTGGTTTCCGTTCCATTCCATCCCTGCCTCACCTCGGTTCTGTAGGCACTCCTACCCCAGCCCCGGGTCCGTTGGTGTCGTCGGGGCTTCCCGCTGGCCCAACAGAAGTTCCTGCCATGGCTCGACACCGGCGCCCTGGCCGCTGCGCCCGAGAGCCAGCAGTTCGCCCTTCCAGCTCATTTTGGAGACTGGCGCTGCTCCTGGCCCTCCTCTGGGTCGCTGCCACCGCTTGGGGCTACGCGGGCTACCGAAAGGCTCAGACTACGGCGAAGCAGGTCAGACCCGGCCCCGGGAGTGGGAGCCCTCACTGGGGCCATCTGGACTGTGGGCGGTGTCCTCGCGGGTCCCCAAGTAAAACTAGGGATCAGTCCTAGGCATTCGGTGGGCCCAGGTTTTCCAGCTCCTGAGTCGGGGAAGGAAAGGCAACCACCCCACCCCCACCTGCTTGTTCTAGCCCCTTGGGCCCAGCTGTCTAAGAAGCAGGAAGCCCAGAGCGACTTAAGTCCTGCCTCGAACATTTAATGAGGCCCTATATTCTCCGGTAAGTCAGGCAACTTTTCCGAGCCCCAGTTTCATCATCTATAAAATGGGGATAATAATAGCACCTGACAACCAGTGGCTATGATGGTCAAATGAGATCAGGTGTGATCCTGGATAGGTCAGTCACCACTGACTGTCTCGATTTCCTCATCTGTAAAATGGAGATAATAATAGCAACTACCTCCCAAGGTTGCTGCTGGGATAAAATGAGATATCTGCAAAGTGCTTGGCAAACCTTAAAACACTACGGAAATGTTAGCTATTGTTATGCATGTTAAATGCTTTTGAAAGTGGCATTTATTGTTGTCGTTGTTGTTGTGTATCCCCTTGCTCTGACACAGGAGGCAATGCTGAGGGCTCTGGGGACAGAAGGCCAATCCCTGTTCTCCTCTCTGGACACTGACAGGGACCTTTACATCAGCCTGGAGGAATTCAGGCCCATTGCTAAGAGGCTGAAACTCAGAGACGAGAGGTGTATGGATGATGAACATGAGAGAAGAGGAAACATTGTGGCATCACCTTAAAGTAAAGCTTCATTTTCCCACCTGAGGAATAGCTCACCTGCTCCTCCATGGCAGGATGAGGACAAGAGAGGACACATGAGAAAATCCCTGGACTGGCAAAGTGCTGCAGAAATGCTGGAAACCATTATTAATGGTCACTATCACCAATGAGTGATACTCATTGACTGACCAAGACAATGACCAGCCTCCTCAGACCCCCAAGCTCCTTTTGTCATGGGTTTTAGTATGATCTCAGCTGCTCTCAAAAATGGAAGTTCAGATACTTTTATGGTGGCAGTTTACAAATGTGTAAATAATAAAAGCTAGTAGGACCTCATCCTTATTCTTCTCACAGTCATGCTTTGGGAACAACATAAAGGAAAATCTAGAATCCTAGTACAAGAAGGCGATGGACTTCTTAGAGTTTTATGTGGTCTAACTCTCACATTTTACAGCTGAGGAAACTGACCCAGAGATGTAAAAAAAAAAAGTACAGCCAAGGACATCCACCAAATTAACGGCACAGTCCACACTAGACTGTGTGGAAATTTTTTAAATCTTCATAATCATACCCAGATCCAGCTCTATAGTCAGTCAGGCAATAAACATTTATTAACAGCCTACAATGTGCTAAGCACAATGCTAAGCCCTAATGTTTCAAATGAAAAAGACAGACAGTCCTTGCCCTCAAGGAGCTCACAATCTACTGGCGGGGTGGGGGGAGACACACAAAAGGAAGCTGAAAAGCGGGAAGGGGCTGGGGAAGAAAGTACCCAGCATAGAGGCATGGTAGATTTAGTCCAAGGATTACAGGCTGGTGGGAAATGAAGAGATGGCTGCTCTGGGTGCCTTCTTTAAATGGAGGCTTTGGGAAGAGCCCTTACTCCAACCTCCAGCCCTCCAGTGAGAGGAGCAGGGGGTACTGAGGACGAAGAGTGAGCACCAAAGTTGATGGAATCTTGTAGGATGAGATGAGTTTCCTGCTGAGGAGTTTTCCTTTGGTTGATACGCAGTTCAGCCCAAGGGGTGCAAGGAGGCAGGATATAGTCTTTAAAAAAAATTTAAATCTCACAGAATCAGAGAATTTCAGAAAACTCATTGTCTGATAGTCAATAGTCAATACACATGAAGATCTTACTAAATGCCAGGCATGTTGGTAAGTGCTGGAGATAGAAATGTGGAAAAAAAGAAAGATAGTCTCTCTGCCTGTAAGGAATTTACAATCTGATAGGGTGAAAGGACATAGAAAAGAAAACTAGAGGGGGGAGGGGTGGTTAAGGCACCCGACTTAGAGGTCAAAGGAGGCCCCAAGTAGTGCAGCCAATTGACAAATAAGACGAGTGTATCCTGAGCCCCAACCCCTGAAATGGAGATTTTGGAGTTCTCAGCCCTGCCCTCCAGTCAGAAGGGCTGAAAGTATCTGGGAGGTGTGAGTACCAAGACTGATTCATTCTTAAAGGATGCTGAGATTTTCCCAATGATGAGCTTCCTGGGGGGAAGCTTCAGCACTGCTCTTGCCTCCCGAAGACTTGGATTCCTATCCCAGCTAGAACACTGGCTGTGTGATCCTGAGCAAGTCAGGGACTTAACCCCTCTGAGCCTCAGTCTCTGTAGGTATTAAAAAAAAAATCATTGCACTTATCCTAAGTTTGTTATAAGGAAAATATTGTATCCACCCTAAAGCTTTATAAAAATGAGAATTATTATCTAAATCAAATGAGATAATACTTGTAAAACACTTAGAACAGTGCCTGGCACAGAGGGGGCACTATATAAATGCTTATTCCCTCCCTCCCATCTCTTCTACCTTCCTCTCTCTCCATTTCTACTCCATCTTTTTTTTTCTTAAACAGAAAAGGAGCTGAAGCCAGAGAGTGGAAGTAACTTGTCCAAAGTCTCATGATCACTTAACATTTATGAAACATTTGCTAAGCACCTGTCTCCTGAAGAACACAGGTCAAAGTGCTAAGTTTAGCTGAGACATAGTTCCTGCCTTCATGGTTCTTACAGTCTATTGGCCAGACCATCGGTGACAGGAGTTTCCCCTAATCACCTCCTTCCATTACAAAGACTGAACTAAATGTTCAGTGTCCTAACTTTTACTTTAGTGACCTTTCCACTACATCAGAAATAACCCAACTATTTCCTTTTCACTTCTTTTACTATTTTGACTTCTATATTGTTCTTTTTTTTTTATCCATCATTGGTTTTCACAAGGGTCTCCAGAATAGGTGAAGCTGGATGGCAGTTACCCCCATTTTAGAGGTGGAAAAATTGAGGCTACACAAGAAATTCACTAGTGTGCTCACAATTCAAAAGCACCTCCAGAAAAAATGGGAACCAGGGCATTTAACTCATGAAGAATGTGGAACAGAAGCATAATGCCGGTTAAAACAATGTCAGAGAGGCTGACATTGCAGAAATGGGCTAAGAATCGGGGGAAATGATACAGACCATAAATATGGTTTCCATAGCTGTGTTCTGGTAAAAAAAGGAAGCAAGAAAGGATTAGAATCACTGCCTGGTAGGAATCACAGTAACGGCTTACATTTTGAGGATCTTTTGAGGTCACAAGGCATTTTCTTCACAATGGTTGGTTGACTGTTGTCCTTCAGTTCTCCAAGAGGACCAAAATGACTATGTTGGGGTCAAGCAGCACTGTGTCTGACTGTGGCTGATCAGACCAATATGAGCTCAGAAGGTTCCACCATAGGTCGGGCACAAATAGTCCACACGACCATTCGGAGTGGAGATGTCTCTAAATCTGTGCATCTCACATTTCCTTTGAGTATTACAGTCTGCTTTGCTCATAGAGCAAAAAACCCTCATCATCTTCTCTGATGAGGGTATGCCATGCTGGGAGGTCCTTTGCCAGTGTCTCCCATGTCACACAATCAATTCCAAAGTTCTGAGAGAGACCTTGAGAGTGTCCTTGTGTCGCTTCTTCTGACCTCTGTGTGAGCACTTACCTTGTGCGATTTCTCCATAAAATAGTCTTTTAGGCTAAAAGTCTTTTAGGCCAAACATACGTTTGACATTCAAACAGCTCATTGGAGTTGCACTCTCTGCAGAAGAGTTTGGATGCGTGACAGGTTAGCTCAAGAAAGGACCTGTGTCCAGCACTTTATTTTGCCAGGTGATCTTCAGAATCTTCCAAAGACAATTCAAATGGAAGCAGTTCAGTTTCCTGGCATGGCATTGGTAGACTGCCTAGGTTTCCCAGACATTCAACAATGAAGTCAGAACAACGTCTCTGTAGACCTTCAGTATGGTAGTCAATCTAATACCTCTTCTCTCTCACACTTTTCTTCAGAGCCTCCCAAACACCGAGCTAGCTCTGGCAACCTCATCATCTATGGGTACATCCCCGGAAAGTGTACTGCCAAGCTAAGTGAACTTATCCACACTTTTCAAAACTTCTCCATTTGCTGTAACCGATGGTTCTACAAATTGATGGTGTGGTACTGGTTGATGGAGAGGTTCTGTTTTCTTGGTGTTGATTGTCAGACCAAAATTAGAAAAAGCAAGAGAGGATAGATCTATACCTTGTTGCATTTCAGTCTCGGGAGGCTGCATTGAGTGCACAATCATTTGCAAACAAAAAGTCATATGTAAACTCTCCCTCCACTTTAGTCTCCGCTTGCAGCCTTTTCAAGTTAAATAATTTACTATCAGTGCAGTAGCTGACCTTAATGCCATCTTCATTCTTGTTGAAGGTGTCCAACAACATTGCTGAAAACATCATGCTAAAGAATTGGAAATGGAGAGGATGCCCATCCATTGGGAATGGCTGAGCAAGCTGTGGTATATGAATGTAATGGAATACTATTGTGTTATAAGAAATGATGAACAGGCTAACTTCAGAAAAACCTGGAAAGATTTATATGATCTGATGCTGAGTGAAGTGAGCAGAACCAAGAGGACTGCGTACACAATAACAGCCACGTTATGCAATGACTAAGATTGTTAAACTGAACCCTTCTCAGCATTACGAGGATCTAAGACATCTCCAGAGGCCTCGGGATGGAAAATGCTGTCCACATCCAAAGAAAGAACTATGGAAGTCGAACCGCTATCACTTATTTTTACCTTCTGTTGAGTTTTGTTTCCTCTTCCTGATGGTTCCTAGTATTGGCTTTAATTTTTATTTACAACTTCACTAATGTGAAAAAATGTTTAATGGGTCTGTAAATGTAAAGCCTATATCAGATTGTGTGCCATCTTGGGAAGGGTGGGGGGGGAGGAAGGGGGAGAAAAATTTTCAACTCAAAAGAATATGGAAGTGATTGTTGATAAATCAAAATAAATTAAAAAAAAAAAAGAAAAGAAAACATCATGCTAAAAAGATGGGAAGAAGAACACAGCCCTGCTTTACTCCACTGGTGAATGGGAAATCTCGAGAGCATCATGCATTGTCCAGAACCTGAGCAAGCATGCCATCATGAAACTGGCAGACAGTACAATGAACTTTTCCAGGGAACCAAATTTTGACATAATTTTCCGCAAGCCCTCATGATTGACAGTATCAAAGGCCTTGGTCAGATTGACGAATGTTGTGTGTTCTGTTCCTGACATTTCTCCTGGAGTTGTTGGGTGGCAACCACCATATCAACCATTCCCCAGCCCTCTCTGAGGCCACATTGGCTCTTGGGTACATGCCCATTTTCTATGTACTTTCTTCACAATAATATGGCAATGGATGACCTAAGGGAAACAAACTTGGACCACTCAGTTTCTATTCTGCTTCTCTTCTCTGTCAAGAAAGATGATCTCTGGACTGAAAAAGGGAAGAACCAAAAGGTCTCAGGGGAAATTGAAGCCCAAGGTAAGGGAGGACTTGGTAAGAATACACTCAGGGGTTCTAACAGAGCTCAGGCCAACTGACTAGCCCAGCAACATCACAGATCCTGGAAGACCCTGCAATGTGCTTGCTCAGCTGCTGAAGGTAATCTCCAAGAAGTCCTAGAGCCAGAACAATCTCAGAACTAGAATAATCGTACCAACAATAAGGCTGTTGTGTGGGAAAATATAACATAGGTGCTACTATTATCCCCATTTGACAGATGAGGAAAATGAGGTTGAGCGAGGTTAAGTAACTTGTTTGAGGGTCACTCATCTTTCTTTGTATCCTCAGTGCTTAGCACAGTGCCTGGCATAAGTAGACGCTCAATAAATGCTTCTTTATCCGACTGGATTTGACATTTGAGGCAGGGTTCCAACTCAGGTATTCCTGATTCCCAGTCTAGCACACTGTTCCTTGTGGCATCCAGCTGGCACAACACCATCCTTCCTTTGCCTCTGGTGCCAATTCATTTCTTGGAATGCTTGAATTTGTCTCCAACTGCGGTGAGATGAAGAAAACACAACTGATGTCTGGGTTGCCTAAGCATTACTCCAGGGCCCCCAGGAAGGAAGCAGATACCTCTAAGGATGGTGCTTTTGTCCCAGCCATGATTTTTGTGGCTGGTAAAAGACGTAACTTCAGCACATCAAGATAAGTCAACCATCAGTTAGTTGCTGTATGTTTGAAACTCCAGCATGGGGTTAGTTTTAATTTATAACTAAAGAATAAATGAAATGTAACTGTTAGGGAAACATGAGAAAATTAATAGTACTCAAGGAATTGAGGGGATTAAAACAGAAAGCGGTTAATTGCAGGAATTGGGTGACTCACAGTGACTCCATCTTGTGACTCAATTCTCAAGCTAGCTCAGTTCCCTTTCTATTCAATTATGGGTCTAGTCCAACTTCTGTCTTGTGAGAAAACTTTATTTCATTGTGGGAATCGAGAGAAAACCTAATGGCATTGTTTGAACCTAGCCCTGCATGGCTGGGAAACTGGACCGCGTCTACTTATTGCTTAGAGACCCTTAATTAAGGACCTAGGTTATGCTGACCAGAAAGCCAGACAGCTCCAAAGATTGAAGCAAGGAGTGTTCTTACCATTGTACGTCTCAAGCAACCCATGTGTCTTATCCAAAAACCGGCCCTGTACTGATCTGTCAGTTATTGCTTCCATGTTCCTTTGATTGCTCACAGACATTTAGGGGTGGGGGAGTGGGACACCTCCTTTTCTGATTTCAGAGAATTGCACCTGTTCACCTTCCCCCTCCCAACTTGGAAAGTTCTTTCTTCCAAAGAAAATATATCTTTCTTCCAATTAGAAATCAGATGACCTAATGTATTCTGGTTAATTGTTTCCTGTTTAATTAACTGCCTTCATTTGATTCATTGTTTTTAATGCATAAAAGTCTTTCTCCCTTTGTATTCAGGGTCCAGGCCTAAGCCGAGGAGGTCTGGTCCTGGTTTGTCTGACAATTGGCAATATTTTCAAAAGACTGAACCTTTGCTTCCTCAGTCATTTCATCTTTCATCCACCACATTTTATATATAATATTATTATATATACAAATAATATAATACATATTATTTATATAACATGTATATATTTTAAGGAACCACTTGCTCCTTCCCTCACCTATCTCCAATATATACATATATATACGTGTGTGTGTATGTGTGTGTGTGTGTGTGTGTGTATGTGTGTGGGGTATATATATTCACAAGGGGGTGTGTTTGTGTGAATATATATTATTTAAATATATATAAATATATAGTTATATATAGTTATATATAAATACATTTATGTAAAACATAAATTTATATGTTTATATATTATATATATATAAATTTTCCCCCCTTGATGTGTGATTTCATCAGTGTAAGAAGTTCTTTCTACCAAAGTATATCTCCAAATGTTTTGCAGGTTATGGTCTTAGAGAATGATCTGGAACCCTGAGGATAACTTGGCTTGCCCAAGGTCACACAGCCAGTAAATATCAGAGGAATGACCTAAACCTTCATCTTCCTGACCTGGACACCAGCTCCCTAACTACTGTACCACGCTGGCTTACAATTAAATAAATGCATGATTAAATTCCACAATTCAGAAAGCCAACAGCACTGAGAATTGTCTCCTGGTTCCACTGGAGTCTGACTCTACACAAGGGAGGGTAGCACACACAAGGGAAAGGGGTCACAAAGCCCTGCCAGGGCCAGGGCAGGGCATCATTCATGCATGTGCCTTGTAGTGGGGACACTTGGCACTGACTTTGACAGGAAGGTGCCAATAATAGGGGGATGGCTCGCCTTCTCTAAAACCACACGTAAGAATGAAAACGGCTGACTCGAGGTAAATCAAGAAGGGCTTGGCATTTCTTTGTGCACAGCACTCGGCAGTGTTTGGCACAGAGTAGCCATTTAATAAACAAATGCTAGTTGACTCAGAGACAAGGAGGATGGTGCCCTGGGGGCCCCTGCTTCAGGCCTAAAAGACATCAAAGATCAGGGATTATGAGGCATCACTTTCCTTCCTCCAGATGGAGGTGGATAGGGAGGGGAGAAAGGCTTTGGGATGGAGAGGGCATCTCCTTTCTGACAATCCGTCTCCCACACTGTCCTGCTTATTCCACGTTGTGTGAACAAAATGCACTATGTCCAACCTCCCCACCCCATTTCCCACACCCTTCAGACCTCCTCCTACTTTCCCAGAATTGAAGAACCAAAGGAAACCCAAATGAATCCAACCTGATATCCCAGCTTGGCCCAAGGCCCCATCACTCCTCTCTACCCCACCACAGGGTAAAGAGCCTACAGTTAGACCCAGTGGAAGTGATCAGTTCTTGTCCCAGAAAACACCCCATATTTGGACGACACATTGCTAGCATCAGGTCAGAAGAAGCTCTTTGCACTGTTCCTTTCCCTTCCTTCCTTCCTTCCTCCTGTCCTTTCCTTCCTTCCTTTCTTCCTCCCTCTTCAGTGACAACATCCTTAGGTTACAAACACTGAACATGCCCAACCAATGACCATGCTCCTCAGATTCTGTCTGCTGGGTTCAGTCCTCCTGCCCTTGCCAACCTCTATAAAAACAGACCAATCAGGTGATCAGCGAAAAAAAAATGAGGCATTTATTCAGGGTTGAGGAATTGCAATCGGGAAAATACACCACCTTTTCAGTCAGTGATGTTCAGGGAGGGAGGGGAGAAAGGAGGATTCTTATAGGGTTTAGTCTTGGGAAACAGAAGGGGGAGCATAGCTGGTATACATAGACTAATCAAACTGTAGAAGGGAGTGTGGGAGAAGTGTCCTTGTGATTATCTCTGTCCTGGAACAGGAGTAGTTAGAAACTGCTAAGGTATGTGGGAGTCTTCTTGGGGACCGTTAGAAACTGCAGATCAGAGCAGAGATTCCCAGGAACTGACCTGGGTGGGGAAGGGGGGTGGGGAGGCAGTCAGAAACTGATAGAATAGGGCAGGGGCCCAGAGATTCCCAAGAGCTGACACTTTATATTAATAAACAGATTCTCTATGGTTTAGACAATCCATGTACAACTGGCAAATGGGCTTTTACACAGCATTTGCTGAGGTGATGGTTCATTATTTCCCTGCATCTGCCAGTTGTCCTGACCTAGCCTTGCCACTGGACTCTGAATGACTCTAGAGGAGAGAGCGAAATGGATGACTTTGCACAGCTCTGCCTCACATCCAATCCACTTGCAAGTCAAAACATCGACTTCCTGATATCATTGATCCTGTTGCAGAATGAAGGACAAACAACTATCTTGAATGTCTACTCATTGGAAAGTCCAACCAACCCTCCCCTGGATAAACAAGTGGTTGCAGTGAATAGTCTTGATAGGGCCACACTACCTTGAAGGTAAAGAGCATCCCTTAAAGATCCCTAGAAAGACCCCGCTTAAATCTCTGGTCAGTGGAGAAATCACTGGCAGCCCCTTGACTGCTTGAATGTCTCCTACCCTCGGCTGATACCCAGAAATCAACTCTTCTGTTCCACAGCTATTACCTAACTCCTCAAGTGCCCGGTATCCCTTCCAGGCTGTTCCCTTTTTCTCTCCTTTCCTCCTCTATGTTTCTAGCTTGTGCCCCTGGCCTCTGGACATCCACCACTGACCTCTGAGAGTAGTGCCAATATGCCACTAATAAAGCCACCTGCAATGACTCCTGGCATCATCTCTTCCTATCAGAACCTCTTAGATGAGTAATAGACTAAGATTGGACCATTAGTACCTTACTATAGCTTGTGAGCCACTGACCAAAGCTGAGACTGTTACTAAACTGTGCACACTCTTTGACCCAGCAATAGCATCACCATTCTTAATGCCCAAACATATCAAAGAGAAAGGGGAAAGGCTGTAAGTACAAAAATCTGCATAGCCCTTTTCGTCAGTGCAGAGAACCAGAAACTAAGGGGGTACCCAACAATTAGGGAATGGCTAAACAAATCATGGTATAGGGATGCAATGAAATGCTATTGTGCTGTAAGAAGTGCCGAAGGGACAATTTCAGAGAAACCTGGGAAGATTTGTACAAAGTGATGCAGAATGAAGTGAGCAGAACAAGGAGAATAACTTATCAACAATGTTGTAAAGATTAAAAACATGGGATTCTGATCATTCCAATGATTCCAGAGGATAGATGAAGAGTGCTACTCACCTCCTGATAGAGGGATGGTGGACTGAGGATCTCCAGTTGTCAGTCAGGCTCCGGTCCCGCCCCTCTCTGGCTGTCAGTCAGTTGTTCTGGCCACACCCCTCCCGATCCGGGTCGCTTCGAAACAGCTGGCCCCGCCCCCTCCTCACCATTGGTCGGTTGGCATTTTCGCCTCTGAGGAGGAGGAGCCGGAGCTGCGGCCTCCTATCATGGACCTTCCCAGGAGGCCGGGGCCCAACGAGTCCCGCCTACCCCCGCAGCCCCCCGGCCGCCCGCGACGCCACCCCCGCAGCCTCCGAGACTTGGCGCTGCTGGTGGTAGTGCTGGGGGCGCTGCTGGCCGTCGCCGGCCGGGGCTACGTGGACTACCGGGAGGCCCAGGCCGAGGCGCTGCGGGTCAGGCCCAGCCTGTAGGAGGGGGGCAGGGAGACGTGGGGTGGGGGGAGGGGACCACGCTGGAGCTCCTTCCTCCTCCCCCATCCCCTCCCTTTCATCTCCTTCCTCTTCCTCCTCTCCCATCCCCTTGTTATCCCCTTCCTCCTCCTCCATCCCCTCCCCCCTCATCTTCTTTCTCCTCCCCATCCCCTTCCCCCCATCCCTTTCCTCTTTCTCCTCCCCATCCTCTTCTCCCTCATCCCCTTCTTCCTCCTCCTCCTTTCCCCATCCCCTCCCCCTTCTTATCTTCTTTCTCCTCATCCCCTCTCTTCTTCATCGCCTTCCTCCTCCCTATCAGCTCCCCCTTCCCCATCCCCTTCCCTGCCTCTTCCCTTTCCCCATCTTCATTCTGATTCATCTGTCTCTCTTGGGTCCCCTTGCCTTTTCCCTACACTCTCCAACAGCCCTCTCCCCACATTCAGGCCTCTTCAGCTCAGTCTCCTCTGAACCACCCTCCTCCTGTTAGTCACAAATTCCCTTTCATCTTAGATGCCTTCTCACCTCCCTTCCATCCTTTGATGATCCTAGTGAAGCCTAGCTTTGTCCTGAAGATCCACGTCTTCTTTTCTCTTACCTGACACCAAGGAATCGCCTTATTCCTCAAGACTGCTTTCCGTCACCTTTCTCTTTTAACATTCACTCCCGTCTCATCCATAACATCTCTGCTGTTATTTGTGGGACCTTCAGTTCTCTTCTTTCTCCCTTCATCTCCTTATCCACGCTGACAGCTGTCTCCTTCCAACACCTTGGGCTTAGTTACAGTTTCTTAAACACCTCAGTTCTCATGAGCTGTCTCTCCAGTCAACCTAAGCCTTGCCAAAAAAAAAACAAAACAAAAAAAAGTGGCCAAACCTTATCTAACCCCTTTCTCCTGCCTCCAGGAGAAAGCCTCCAGCCAACTCAGTTTGCCTGGAGAGTAAAACGTCCTAACTCTGTCTGATCCCAAGGCAGGAAGAGCAGCAAATTAGGCCTCTTCTTGTATGCTCAGCCCTTCTCTCTGTCCCCTTGTTCTGACGCAGGAGGCCGCACAGAAGTTCCTGGGGAAGGATGGATTCTTTCTCTTCTCCTCTCTGGATGCAGACAGAGACATGTACATCAACCTTGAAGAGTTCAAGCCTGATGCTAAGAAATTGATAGGTACTTGGGAGTCACTAGGGGCTGATGGGGAAGACCCTGGTGGAAAATTGGAGTGACTTGTTCGTTTCCCCATCTGAAAAGAAAAACCACATTTCTACCTCACAGGTCAAGGCAAGGGTAAAAGATAGAATTCATTAGAAAAGCTTGTCTCCTTAAAGGGCTGTACAAACATCAGGCATCAATAATGATCATTATCAATGATGACAGTGGCAATAATTAAGTAATAGGCAAACTAATGATCCCTCAAATTCCCAGAGCTGCTTTCTTCCCAGACTTTATTTTGATCTGAGCTTTTTTCGCAGGTTATGTTCCTGTGTGCCTTCCTGCCCCTGTAGGTCACAACCCATCTCCCCCTTATCTTGTGTGACTTTTGTCCATGTTCTAAAAATCTTTCACAGGATCACAGAACTACAGCAAGAAGGAATCCCAGAGGCCAGCTGGTCCAATTCCTCATTTTGCAGATGAGGAAACTGAGGCAGAAGGAGGTTAAATGATTGCTAGAGGTCACACAGTGCCAGATATGGGTGGGTTCTCAACTGAAGTCCTTTGGGTCTGCCCAACTCATTAGAGCCCTTCCTTTAAGAGATTCTTAACCTCTTTTTGTGTTTTGGACCTCTGGCAATCTGTCTTAAGCCTATGGTCCCCTTCTCAGAATGTTAAGTGTATAAAACAAAACATACAGTATTTCAAAGGAAACCAACTATACAAAAGTAGTTATCAATATTTTAATAAGTTACAAGACTTCCAGTTGTAAATAATAGTTAGCATTGATATAGTACTTTAACATTTGCAAAGCATCTTATAAATTTTATTTCATTTGATACAACCCTAGGAGGTAGTTGCTGTTATTATGCCCATTTTACAGATGAGGAAACTGAGACAGAAGTTAAGGGACTTACCAAGGGTTACATAGCAAGTAAATGTCTGAGGCTGAATTTGAATTCGGGTATTCCTGACTCCCGGCCCAGCTCCCAATCCACTGTACCACCTAGCTGCCTGCTTTATGAACCCCAGCTTTAGCTCTCTTGATGTTACTTGGAACCAATGGGAAACAAGAACCCTCCATTAGTTATCCTTCATTCTCATTATATGACCACATCATTTCTTCTTGTCCGTTGTTTTGGTCACATATTTATGCTGTTTCTCCTACAAGCCTGGCATTTGATCCCACCATGCATCTCTCTGTTGCCTCATAAGTAGCTGACGGTTTGAATAGTCTTGAAATGGAGGTCTTCCCTGCTTCAAAGCCATGTAGGATCACCAGAAAAACATTGACCATTTATCAAAAGATGATCTTTGCTTCAAGGAAAAGCTCAGGGTCATTAAAAGCACTGGGCAATTTCCCAGATGCTATCCAGCCTGCTTTCTTCCTTTTTAACTCTGGGTCATTGCCCCAATGCATTGTCCATCGGCAGCGTCTGACTAAACTATATGTACTAAGATTTCAGTTCTGTGACCTATCTCCATCATACTCTGAACAATATGCCTTCTTTCTCTATTTGGTTTTTGCAGTGAAAATAGTTGGGCTGGACTCTTAAATAATTCTGGATCTCATAACACTGCAGTGTTTGGGAACAGGATGCAGTCAGCACAGTGTCATCCATAAACAGGAGCACCTAGAAGATTTTCACCATCTATAGGCCTTGCTTTTCCTTTTGGACTCTGAATGTAGCCTCCGCCATGAAAATGGCAAACACTTAGCAAACGCACTTCTTCCTGTTTTATGTCTCATTTGATATTTATCACAGAAACAGCATGGTGCAGTGGATAGAGAACTGTCCTTAGAGTCAGAATGCCTAGGCTCAAGTCAAATACTGACCATGTGATCTTGGTCAAATCAATCTCTCAGTGTGCTAGGTCACCCTTTTAAGACTGTAAGCTGCAAAGGAGTTGCCAGTTTGCATTGGTAGATTCCTCATCTGGTAATTTCGTGTACCAGTGAAATGACAGGCACATTCCCTAAGGGTATAATTACTTGGTCATTGAACTGAATTATGTTACATGTCTGTAGCCTTACTAGAAGATAATCTTTCAGACAGTATTTTGATCTGCTGAGTCAAATGCTTTTTTTATAGTTAACATAAAATAAACCAGGTAATTACATAACTGTAAAGTTATATGGTCTGCTTTCACGTTTTGTTAGCAAAAACATGTCTGTTCCCTTCTCATATTTTCATCAAGGGTGCCCTCAAAATGTGTATAGATTATTCTCATGAAGATTTTGTAGACATAGGAAAGTAGACATATAGGTCAGTATTTAGCATCTTCTTTATCACTTTGTAGTAGTCATAATGTCCAGGGGTTGGTTGGTTGTTGTAAGGATTTGGTGTCCTCCAAGAGGACTTTGTACACAATAACAGCCACGTTATGCAATGACTAAGAATGTTAAACTGAACCCTTCTCAGCATTACGAGGATCTAAGACGTCTCCAGAGGCCTCGGGATGGAAAATGCTGTCCACATCCAAAGAAAGAACTATGGAAGTCAAATCACTGTCACTTATTTTTACCTTCTGTTGAGGTTTTGTTTCATCTTTCTGATGGTTCCTCCTATTGGTTTTAATTTTTACTTACAACTTCACTAATGTGAAAATATGTTTAATGGGTATGTAAATGTAAAGCCTATGTCAGATTGTACGCCATCTTGGGGAAGGTGGGGAGGAGGAAAAGGGAGAAAAATTTTCAACTCAAAAGCATATGGAAAAAAAAATAAAAAATAAAAAAAAATTAAAATAATTTAAATTTAAAAAAAAAAAAGGATTTGGTGTCCTCTCAGGTGCCTTGAGAAACAGTCCTTCAGTCCCCTCAAGAGTGTGTCATCTTCAGTGCTCTGGACAGACTTGGTCTGACCCATCTGCCCTTTCCATCTTTGTTTTCTTTCATGTCATTTCCACCTCCCTGACAGCACTGGTGAGAACTCAAATAGAACTGGATCCCCGCAGCCACATATTGGCTTAGGAAACCATGTTAACGTGATCTGTGTTTTATTGCATTCATATTTATTTTGTTGACTGTTTTCCAATTACACATCTTAGTCTGATTCAGCCACACTCAGATGCCTTTGTCATACAGCATATTGGGGACTAGTATCAGGGATATTAGAGGACAAATGTAGTATATTCACTTTTGTTGATGATTGAATAGCTTTTCAGAATAATTTTGGCAGATCTTTTCCATTTTCTCATCTGTTGCTTGTCCTAGCTTTATCCTTAAATGTTCTCAAAATGGTCTGGCTTAATTAGATCTCCAAGCTTTCTACAAATGTGGTTTTTCTTCTATTGTTTGTCACTTTTATAAGGTGATACTGCTCATAATTTACCATTTTCCTCTATATTCTAAACAAATATTGGTTTTACCTTCTATATTTCTTCTCTTAGAAAGGAAATCACACATTTACTGGCTGAGATTGTTTCTAGGCTTTTAGCCTCCTTGCTCTATGACTGATTTATATTGCTAAAACGTCCTTAGAAAATAGTGATAATCTGTGTCAGTGACTGTTGTTTTATCTGTTTCTCCTGTTTTAATTGTCAGTTGTTGATTTAAAGAGGTCAGTTTGGAGATGTTTTCATTATATGCAATAACTTCTTATTTGTATTCTATTAATTTGTTGTCAATTTTGAGTTTTGCTCTAACAAACCAATAGTTTGACTATATACATGGCTAATACGGAAATGCCTCCCATATCAGTCATCAGTCATTTCCTATCTGCTAAGAAATCAGCTTCATTTTTTTGTGTGATGCTATTCAGTGCTCTTTGGGCTTCTTTTATTTCTTAATCCTGAGCCACATTTTCTATCACCCTTTATGCCCATATTTGCATAGAAGACTGAGTATTAAAGTATATGTTGGTTTAATTTGGAGGGTCTCTATTGAATTCTGCATAGTGTTTTTGCCTCCTCGCTGTCTACAACAGATTTTCGCGTGTAAGTTATAATTCCTTCACGATGGTCTTTTTGCAAATGCTCACTCATGACCACTACAATAAGAGATGACTCAGCATCCCATGAAATGTTTCTTGTTTCCTTTGGATGGATGATGAGCCAACTCCTTTGTCTCTCCAGGAAGAACTTTTCAGATTTCCTCAATTTAGATGCAACTTCCATTTGTCTTTTGCTTTCATTAGTATTGAAGTGGCCAATATTGATAAGATTGAATTCTTCTGGAAATGTTCATTGGTTGCTATTGACAAGGACCTCCCTTTCAGAGTACCAGCAGTTAATTTTTATAGACAGTCCACGAATGTGTGGTTCTTAGTACATTCTGCCCCTATTACTACTAATCTGCAAAGGCAGAAGGGGGAGAGGGGAGCATATCACACTGAGGGCTGTTTTTAATATTTTTTGTCATATGGGTTGTGATTCTCCCAAAACTGATCACTTGTGGCCAGATAGGGGTAATGAGCCTTTCCCTGCATGGGTGATCTGGCCTTCAGATAGAGGACATACATCCTTGTCAGTAGAACCTCCCCAAGCTTGTTCTCTTCCAACATACGTGGAAAGCCCAGGGTCACCTTGACACCCCGATGAGGCATTGGAGCATGACTTTTATAAACAACAAATGCTTTCTTAAATGAATGTGTACCCAGATATACACAGCTTCATCCTCTTATTTCTGAACATTTATGCTTTTAGAAACAGTATGAGCAGAAATTCAGAACTGAAAAAGAACCCCAGGAAAGATCTAGGCTAACCCATTTATTTTATAGTTGGAAAAATGAAGTTGAGATATGTGAAAGGACTTTCTCAACATCATAAAGTTAGAATTGTTGGTCGTAGTGCTGGGATTAGAATATGATCATTACCATTCCAAAACCTATGCAGCAAGGTGGTATAATGGACAGAACACTAGAATTGGAGTCAGAAAGACCTGACTTTGAATCCCACCTCACATTCCATCCTGCTGGTGAGTTGGCCTGCCTCAAGTCTCCCCTCACTCCAATTTATCCTCCATTGAGACACTAAAGTGATTTTCCTAAAGCACAGGTCCAACCGTCTTACTCCCCCTACTCAATTCCAGTGGCTCCCAGTCACCCCCAGGAGCAAATACAAAACACTATATACAGACTGCTTTATGTATATTTGTTTGCATATTGTCTCTGCCATTAGATTGTAAGCTTCTTGAGGTCAGGGACTGTCTTTTGCATCATTTTGTATCCCCAGCATTTAGTACAATGCCTGTCACATAGTAGTCCCCCATGGAGTTCTTTTTCCTAAAACAACTCCTAACCTTCTTGCCAGGCAGGGAAAATTGTCTCCATTTTACAGTTGGGGAAACAAAATGGGGTACAGATTCAAGTCTAAGACCCAGCCCCCTTCCCATACAAATGTGAATGTTCCTTCTCACTTGGCAGAGGGGGATTCTCCATAGGATAATGGAGAGGGGAAGAGAAATACTTTCTCCCTGGTACCAGAAGAGATGGCACTGATTCTGTTAACATGTCTATGTTCCACAGCAGTCACATCCATCAGCATCCTCGAGGAGGAAGTGTCTCAGAGCTCTCCACTTGACCTCAGCGAGGAGAAATTTTCTATGATGGCCAGATTCCAGCCTCTGCTCCGAGAAACCATGTCCAAGAGCAACAATGGATTCCTGGGGGTAAGTCTGAAGGGAGGACTGGGCAGTGTAAGCCGAAGACGCCATGTTACAGGCTTGTGAGGTATCTATTGTACTCTTCCATCCCAATGCCAAATTAGTCATGTGATGGAACTGAGGCAACCTGAAGTAGAGCCATAAAGCTCCCACACTGAAGAGTTCTCTGTTTTTTACCCCACAGTATATGGAAAAATTGCTCTGTCCCCAAGCCTCCACCTCTGTTTTCCCTACCTGGTCCCTCTTTTCTCCCTTTAGAAGGTCTAAATATAAAGACGCTGTGCAGTTCTCAGTTATCTGTGCCTCTAGAGTTTTGGATGATCTAGAAGTCCTTTGAGGTGACTTGGAGACGCATTATGTGATTTCAGAGGGAGAGAGCCAGGAGGAGAGGTGCAAAATTCCTTTTCTCAGATAAATATTCAATGAAATAACATTTCCTGAGCACAAACAGAAAGTAAACAGAAAGGGTGCCCTTCTTTGTAATATTTAACTCAGGTTAACAATGAAATTAATTCAGCTTCAGACAGAATGCCTACATAGGTTCAAATCCAACATTTGGCAATTATTGCTATCTGCCTGACCTTGGACAAGTCACAGCTGCCACAATTTATGGTAACAAAAAGCAGTCCTGGGCTGATTTCCATAAGCCCCTCAAGACACCTTACCAGACACAGCTCTTTACACACGATATTAAATGCACGTGATAGGGAACTCTTTGCCCGGCTAGCTTACCTACCTATCCTTCCTTACCCCCAACCATAACTCCAGCCTCAGATGACATTTCCTCAGTCTTCTCAGTGAGGAAGGAGAGAGCAGTGATCTTCTCAGGAAAGGGGAAAGAGAAAAGAACGCCTGCAGGCCAAGAAAGCAAAGGCTCTGGAGTATTTGGGCACCTGTAAAAATAGCTGAGCTGTGAGGTGTGATGGAATAACAGGGTTTTAAATCATTTTCACAATGACCAGCTAAGGACTAGGGCTCATTTCTGGGATTCAAGCCTTGGGTAGGTAGGCAGGCAGCAAGCATTTATTAAGTATTTACTTTGTACCAGGCATAAAGAAGGACAGTTGCTGCCTTTAAGAGCTTAAGAGATAATGTATAAAAGAGAGGTAAAAAGCAATGGGGGCTGAGGAATACCATGTGAGGGGGGCATGATTAACAGGTCCATAGAATGAAGCGTGGCTGGCCTGGGCCCCTCCTAAAATGTAGGCCTCATGAGAAACTCAACAATTGGGGAGTGGGGTGCAGAATGGTGGAGGGATATTCGAAGGTGAGAAGGTTCCAGATGTTAGGGAATTTCTAGGGTGAGAAAGCAGCTAAGTCATGGTGGTAAAGACCAGAGAGTCAGAAGCACAGCTGGGAGGGAAATGAAACCTTGGGAACATAGATATCCCCCAATATTTCTTTTCCCCCTCAGCAGGATGGCACAGAGAAAGCCTGATCCTAGGGTAATAAGGGGGAGTATATAAGACATGACTTTAAAAGTTCATCGAATCATGGCTTTGGAGCTGGAAGAGATTTTAAAGGGTGTCTAGTCCAGATGTGGGGAACCTGCAGCCTCGAGGCCACATGTGGCCTTCTAGGTCCTTGGGTGTGGCCTTTTGACTGAGTCCAAATTTCACAGAATCCCCTTAATAAAAGGATTTGTTCTGTAAAACTTGGACTCATCAAAAGGCCAAGCGCAAGGATGTGGAAGGCCATATGTAGCCTTGAGGACGAAGGTTCCCCACCCCTGGTCTAGTCCAACCTCCTCATTTTACAGATGAAGAAGCTGAAGCCCACAGAGACTGAGGCCTTGCTCAGGGTCACAGAGTTAAGTGGTAGAAATGAGATTCCAACCCAGGTCCTCTGACTCTTTAAGTAAACACACACTACTTACACATCAAAATGAATTAGCAACAGTACTGCCAGCTCTTCTTGTGGTGGCCAAGAATTGGAAACTGAGGGGATGCCCATCAGTTGGGGAATGGCTGAACAAGTTGTGATGTATGAACATAATGGAATACTATTGTTCCATAAGACATGTTGAGCAGGCGGATTTCAGAAAAACCTGGAAAGACTTAAATGAACTGATGCTGAGTGAAGTTAGCAGAAGCAGGAGAACATTGTATACAGTAACGGAAACATTGTGCAATAATCAGCTTTGATACACTTAGCTCTTCTCAATAATACAATGATCTTAGACAATTCCAAAAGACTCGTGATGGAAAATGCTAACCACATCCAGAGAAAGAATTATGGAGTCTGAATGCAGATCAAAGCATACTATTTGCTCTCTTTTTTTAAATTTTTCTTTCTTGTGATTTTTCCCTTTTGTTCTGATTCTTCTTTCACAACATGACTAACGTGGAAATATGTTTAATGTGATTGTACATGTATAGCCTGTATCAGATTGCTTGCAGTCTTGGGAAGGGGGGAGAGAGAAAAAATTTTGGAACTCAAAATTTTATAGAAGCGAATGTTGAAAACTATCTTTACATGTAATTGTAAAAAAAATACTATTAAGTAGGGAAAAAATAGAAATTGGTAGATTTTTTTAAAAAACAGGGTTGCCAAAGGGCAAAGAAAGGATCCCTCTCTTCTCTGAAGTATAAGGAGATTGTGAGGTGCAGGCACCCTGTGAAAGAGGCCTCAGCTGGCCTTTCCAAGGTTGCCTCCTCCCATTCCTCATTCACTCTGCCCTCAATTTATTCTCCATGCTTTCTCAACTCTGTACCCTTGCTCAACAACATTCTTTTTGCCAGGAATATCTTCCCTCTTCCCAGATAACAAGACCTCAAAATCAAAATCTTCCTTGCAAGCCTCTTTGTGCCAGTCAAAGAAAGCATCCCATTTTCCCTTTTCTCTTCTTAAGAGGCAGCTATATATTTAAGGCAAAAGTGAACAAACAACCACTGTTCAGTTCCCTTCACTTCCTCTGAAAGTTTAGGGTAGAAAAAGCCTGCGCACTATTAATGGGGACGCACTCAATTTCTCCCTTACATTTTTCAGTTGTCATTCTAAGTATTTTTTTTCTTAACTACACTAACATGTCTGGGGGGAATAATGAATCAGAGAGATGCTGGAACTGAGGGAAACTTGAACTCACTTATACTAACCTGTCCATTGAAACGCACAGGAAGAGACAAAAGAAGGAGAGGGCTATTGGGGACGTCCATTGTCCCTCCGATGCCATCAGCTCTTCACCTCCTAAAGCTCTGCAGTGAGGGCAGTCAGTTTCGACAGGCATCAAAAACCAAAGCCAGAAACACAGAAGGAAAGGAGGGAACAGACAACAGACCCTTTTGCTGAGGGTCTGCAAAGGCTCTTCAGACCTTAAAAGCAATGTGAGGGGCATCTAAGTGGTGCAGTGGATAGAGCACGGACCCTGGATTCAGGAGGACCTGAGTTCAAATCCAGTCTCAGACATATAACACTTACTAGCTATGTGACCCTGGGCAGGTCACTTAACCCCATTACCTAACCAAATTAAAAAAAAACAAAACAAAAAGAAGTGATGTGAGCATACAGACAATAAAGATGATTTAGGCAACGGTTCAGTGAAGGTGATAATGGCAGCACCCTGCTTCTAAAAATCTACTGGCACAGAACAAAACCAGATCAGCCAAACACAAAATAGAACAATTCCTCCTAATGGAAGCAAGTCAACGCAAACAGAATCATAAAAAGAAGAGGAAACAAGATTTTGTTACCTACCTGAAGAAAAAAATAAATAGGGGAAATCCTACGCCTCAAAAAGACGTAGAGTTTACAGTCTCTCCTCAGCCACACGTCCTTGGGTTCCTGGCCAATGTATCAGCTAAAGATCATGGTCAACAAGGACCCACGACTCAAAGTATAGAGTACAAGTCAATAAGAAGAAACTTCATTGATGTTACAAGCCATGGGAGAAAGAGACATCAGCTGTTTCAAGAGAAATCTCTGTAAACCATGTCTACAACGTACATAGGAGAGAATGAAGAAATAAATACCGAGGATAGGTAGGCTGAATTATAAACTGCTGCCAGGTACAAGGTTACAGCATTCCATACAAGGGGAGATAAATGGAGTGTACAGTTTTCAGATGAGGGTTTATAATATCTTAGAGCCTACTTTATCACTGTGAAAAGGAGAATCATGATGATGATATATTATGAAATATATATTAGATTTTGGGTTTTCAGTATATATTTTCTTCTGACTGTTTTCTTACAATGGTAACTTTTAGCTATGCAAGCAGGGCAGACCAGGGGTCAATCTAAATGCAAGGAAAGGAATATGATTTGCTCAATGAACACTGAGATGGAAGTGCATTCCAAAATGGAACTCGTGTCAAGAGAGGGAAAATACAGGCCCCTTTCTCTTTGTCTCCATGGGGAGAGGGAATAAGGATATATTTGAAAAGGAAGGCAATAAGAAAACATTATCGATACAAATCAGATTTTAAAAAACTGGTTCCCAGAATTGAATACAATATTCCAGGTATGGTTTGACCATAGCAGAGGAATAGAATGGCTATCACCTTATTCCTGGAAGCTGTATCACCTGAACTTTTTTATCTGTCGCATCAGAGTGCTTACTCATTGAGCTGGTGGTCTGCTAAGACCCCCTAGAACATTTTGAGACAAAATTCTCAATTACCTAACCATGCCTTTCTCATTCTGTATTTATGAAACTATTACCTCTTCTTTATTCTCATAGCACCTTATTTATTCCTCTCTTATACACAAAACTATAGTTCCCCTACTGGACTGTAAACATCATGAAAGTAAAACCTGTCATATTTGTCTGTGCATATATTCCCATAATAGGAGATAAATCTTGTAAAAAGATTTATTGAATCAAATTAATGTGGACAATATGCACTATAGGTGTCCAGAGAAGGGAGAGGTGAATGTGAAAAAGTCTCAGAATATTACATATCTTGAAGGATAGGTAGGACAGATATAGGAAGAGGAGAGAGAGAAAGATATTCCAGTGAGAACATGATAAGCAAAAGTATTGAGGCTGAGATATTTTCTTGGGAAAGTCAGTAAGCCAGTTAGACTACAGCGGAGAATAGATACAGTATAGAATTAGGAGGTACCTCTGAAGCAGGCAGGGACTCTACACCAGGTGAAAAGCAATCAGCACCAAAGCCAGAGGGCCAGGTACTCGGATCTCACTGTGCAGGCCAGCAGTGAGGCCCTCTAATCAAGGGTCCTTGGGAATAGGAACTCTCGGTCTGGTTTGGGCTTTTCGGTAAAAACCTTGGTTGAGTTCCTAAACCATTTCAGGGTCAAACCTCTCCAATAGTTTGTCTGTTCCTGCCTAAGCCTGTCTCTGATCTTCATCGCCTCTCCTCCTACACCACCTGCTCTCGCTTTCTTCTAGGTTTCTCATCTCACTCTCTCTGGACTTCGAAACTGGACTGTCCCTGATGAAGTGCTCCGCCTGTTCTCAGCCCGACAGTTCTTCATCTTCCTACCACCAAAGGAGGAGCTGGAGCTGGGTGAGCCCTGGTGGATTATCCCCAATGAACTGGAAGAACATCTCCCTTCCAATCGCTTCTATCCACCAAGGTCCAGCAGGAGAGAGGTTAGAAAAGACCCCAGGTCCCTAGATCCATCCCTATTCTACCCCCTCAAATCTCACCAAATGATCAGTATGATATTCTTGCCTCAGGCCTGACCCAGCCTACTTCAGATCTAACCCAAATGCCTCAGGTCTGTATACCCAGCACTAGGTCTGATGCCCCAAGCCACAAACCTCAACTCATCTTTCTACACCAGGATTCTAGAATCTATGGATATGAGAATCTTTGCTTTGATGCTTATCTCCCCCAGCTCCCTGTATCTTCCCTTGAACTTGACCCCTTGAGAATTCTTGGAGACTTTGAGCCTGCCAGGTTCCAGATAACCACTTTCCCATCCCAGGGACCAAGAGGAGAGAAGGAATCCTCAAGTCCTTTCAGGAAAAATACAGTTATCCCACTTGACTGGAAGGGAAAGAGTCCCCATCATTTAGTGCACAGATGGCATTTGGGCCCAGTAACCTATTTGAACCCCAGGAGAGGAGATGACCTTGAGTTGGCTCCCAAAGTAGTTGGGCCATTGCCTCCCACAGGACTTGATCTATAAACTCCTGAGCATGTTCCACCCAAGGCTGTTTGTGAAGACCCGCTTTGGCCCTCGAGGTACGGTAGCCTGCCTTATGGCCACCAGTGACCTCTACTATGCCGTGGCCTTCAGGTGAGTACTGCCCACCTCCAACAATCCAGATCAGGTGGGTCAGGGGCTAGAATGGTGGTCATAAACAAAGGGACAGAACCCTGAGCTGTACAAGGTTCAGGCTGTCAGGGAAGAAGCCAAGGTTATCCCTCAGTTATCAAGGATGATTTTCCCCCCTGGGAGAATATTGAGATCTCTTCCATGTCTTGCTATTCAGGGAGCCCCTAGTCACTTGCACAAGAACAGAGCCTGAAACAAGCTACTTTGTATGTCATACAAATGGCATATCTGTTAAGAGGTTGGTTAGGAAGTTACAATAATTGTCTCAAAAGGAGTTTAAGTCTAGTCCCTGAAGAGGTTCAGGATTTCCTACAGTTTGCAGTTTCCCAAACGTTCCTGGTCCCACCTCAGAAGTTTACAGCAGTCGAATTATTCAATGGATCTGCCGTGCTAGCAGGTGAAGCCAAGCCCCAACCCTGCCAGCACCCCTCCATACTCTTTTAAGCAGTGGTTCTTAACCTTTTCTGTGTCATAGACACTTTGGGCAGTCTGGGTAAACCTCTGGACTCCTCAGAATTACATTTTTAAATACATAAAAACAAAATACATTGGCTTACAGAGAAACCGATTTTATTGAAATACAATTATCCAAATATCTTTTACACAACAAGTTTATAGACTCCAGGTTAAGAACATCTGCTTGAAGGTGTGTTACTATACTCCCCCCAAGTGTACCTTTCTAAACCATCGAGCCACAATATCCAACCCTAGCTTCCACTCCCCTATTTTGCTTCATCTGTCTCTGTTGGAATCTAAGCTCCTTGAGAGCAAGGGCCGTCTTTGCTTTTGTTCTTGTGTTCCCATGGCTTGTACAGAATAAGACATTCATTGGTTCAAGCACAGAATAAGTGACTTTGTCAGATGCTTGAAAAAAGAAAAAAGGAACACACCCAAATGGCCTAACATGGAGGCACCCCGAGGGGCCTTGCCCAGATTGCCTAGTAGGGGGGTGCTCCTCATTCTCTGCCACGTGGTGGGTGGGAGTAGCCTCCTTGACTGGCTACCCAGACGAGGGATTAAACCTGGCAAGGTTGTCTGCTGGTAACTCTGTCTTTCTATCTTGTCAGTCTTCCTGCTGCAATGACAGGGTAGAAACCACAGTTCACTCACAGCATGGGCGCCATGAACTGAAGAGGTATGGGGAAAGGACTTCCTTCCCCTTCTCGACTTCTCTTTTAACCTAGCTCTGAAAATTGGGTCTGGCTGTATTTGCTTCTGTTCTGTTTCATTTGCCCTTTTCAGTTTCGAATACCAGAAGGCATCCCCACAGGACCATGGCAACTTTGAAGCCAGCATGCGAGGCAGGACGTTGTAGTCAGCCTGGCAGGGAATTCTGGAGAAGCAGGTCCCACAAGGATCACCATTGGTACCTGAAACTGAGGACAAATTAAACGGAACAGAACAAAACATCCCCAGGCCCATTTCTCAGCAGTTCTTCCTTTCTCACCCATTCAGTTCATGGTGCCCACATGTACTTACCGCCCCCCCCCCCCGGTCTTCACAGGAAAGAGCATAGGAAAACGCCTAAGTCAGAAAAAGAGCTATCAGCAGCAATCAGACAGTCTCAGCAGTTTTAGAAAGCCTGCCTGTGCTGGACAGCCAGTCAAAGAAGCTCCCCCCCCCCACCTGTGGGAGGAAGCACAGAGCACCTCCATGTTGGGCAGTCTGATCAAGCCCCCTTAGCAATGCCTCCATGGTAGGCGATCTGGGCATGTTCAAAAAGCTGGGAAAAAGTCTGGAGGATCTGTATCATTTCCTTCAATTATCAACGGACTAAATCTGACAGAAAATGAAGTGAGGTTAGTCGAGTGGGGCTAATTCTTGGTGAAGCTGCACTGACCCTCAGTGATCACCGCTTCTCTTTCTAGATGTTCAGTAACTAATACTTTGAAATAAAAATAGATTTTAGGATTTTTCCAGAAATTGGAGTCAAGCTGTCTGGCTCACACGAAGAATCTGTCTTCCATGTTTAAATTTGCTCTTCTTCAGTCTTCCTGCTACACCCCTCATGTTCTCCATAATCCTTCAAAGAGTGATGACAGTGACTCAAGAATCACAGCTCTCAGTTCTTTCAGCATCCTCAGATGTGCATCTGGGCCTGGTGAACTGAATTTATCCAGAGCAGATAGTGTACTCTTAATATCTCCCTACTTACCTTTTTGTTTTTCATTTACCCCCTTGGGGCAAAGGACCATTGCTCTCCTTGGCATATACAATCCTTCCTAACAGTTAGAATCCACAGAAAATCTTGACACCTGGTTAAATCACTCTCAGCCAGCTTCTTTAGGGAAGACAGGAAAGGAAGAGCCTCTCCCATCTGCAGACAGAATTCTCAGCCAGGTCTTCTTCTGGAACCCATTCAGAGAAAAGCCTCCAGGATGGGGAAGGGATTAGACATTGTGCCATAAGAAGGCCGGCTGAAGGCACTTGAGCTGTTTGACCTAAACATTTAGTGAGGACATTATGGCTCTGCTGTAGGAAGAGGATTCGAATTATTCTAGTTTGCCCCAAAAGGCAGAGCTAGGAACGATGGGTGTAAGTTGTAAAGATGCTATTTTACTTGATATAAGGAAATTTTTCCTAATCCTTACACCCGCCGTCAAATGAACTAGTTTATCTCCAAGGGCCCTTTCAGCACTAATATTCTGTGGAGTGGGTTGTCTTCTATGATTCTTCAAATGGAGGTTGAGTGACTGCTTTGCAGGGATAAGGTAGAAGGGAATGGATTCAGGGATGGTTTGAATCTGATGTCTTCTGAGGGCCTTTCCAACTCCAACATTCTCTAACTTTATCCTTTCTGGCTATAGGATCCATGCTGAGTTCCAGCTCAATGAACCACCCCTCCTCCCCTTCTGGTTCTCTCCAGGACAGTTTACTGGGCGCATCATTCTCTCCAAAGATTCCTCCCATGTCCGTGACTTCAAGCTCTTTGTGCCCAATCACAAGTAGGTTACATAGCCCTTCTGGGGCAATTCAGCCAAGGGAGGGAAGCCCATCAGACACACTTCTTCTGTGTATTCCAGGAGTTTGGGACCCTGACTTGTCCTAGACAACAGAATGCTGTCACTGTCATTTTTAAGGTTCTCTTCCTCATTTCTCAGAGATACTCTCCTGGGAGAGATCTGAAACCAGCTGCTTTGGCAAGGAAGAAACAGTGAAGGGAGCCCACAACCCTGAAAGCCCATCTATTCTGATATAGCCTAGGAAAGGAGAGAAATATCTTTTAAAAGCTCTCCAAAGTAGCAGATCTAAAGATCACGTGTGATAGTGTCCCTTCCCTATGACATTCACCCAGTTTATCAATTCCATTCAGAGAAATCCTGGATAGCAGAGACAGATTGCAGATGAGCCTCCTCATGTTTGTATATTCCAGACTGCAGGAGTCTTATGGGTAATAGCTTATGGGAAATGGAAATAGAAGAGGGAGAGGGGTATAGTTCAGGCCCTGGCAGTGTCCTAGGACAACCTCTGGACTTACCCTTTTACTCTTATTGAAGGAATTTTACTTACCTAAAACGCAGCCTTCCTTTCCATCAATAACCCTCCCTCTTCCATGATAAAATCTTAAGACAGTTATTCTAGTTTGTCAGACTTCAAGTCTCTATTTGTCCTCCCAATTTCCTTTCCAGGTTTTCTGCCCATCTTGAAGCCATCCATCCAGTAGTATATCTTTAGCCACTGCCTTCAGCCCTGGCACCATCAAAGTCATTGATGTAAGCTAACCTCCCTGGTTTGCACTCATCAAAACTTCATATTCACTTCTCTTATAAGGCCTCTGAACGTGGAAATGGAATGGCTTTACCAGGATGAAGAAAATGGCAACTCCAGTAGCGAATTGGACGTGGATATTGGCTACCTCCCTCAGGTGTGTGTGACCTGGCGCTTGACTTGGACAGGACTTTTCTACAGTTCTGTTCCATCCTACCCTCCAGCCTAGGGGGTTCCTTTGATTCTAATGCACTAGGAGCAGTGTTACAGACAGGAAGGTGATGCCATCAAATGCACAACTCCCTGCTGGCTATAGAAGAAAAGAAGAACCTGAATTTATTGTTGTTATTCAGTTGTTCAGTTGTGGTTTTCCTGGCGAAAATACTGGAGTTATTTGCCATTTCCTTTTCCAGTATGTCCCCATTTTATAGATGAAGAACTGAGGCAAATAGGGTTTGTAACTTGCCCAGGGTCACACAGCTAGTAAGTGTCTAAGGCCAGATTTGAACTCAGATCTTCCTGATTCTAGGCCTGATGCCCTATCCACTTTGCCTCCTAGCTGCCCCAGTGTAGGACTCTATAAATATACTCTGTGTGAAAGTGAATAATGGCTATTCCCCCAAAAAAAGTCTGCTTAAGATTTGGTTCCTTGAAAAGTCATAGCTTTGATGTCAGTAGGCCTGTCCATCTGTTTACATTTCCTGTTCTTTTGGTGAAATGTATCTTTGGTCCTGGAGTTATTCTGTTTCTAGGCAATGGCAATACCTAGAACTTCAGTAAATATTTACTAAGTGTCCACTGTGCTAATCACTGGGATACAGATGCAGAAAAAGAGAATCCCTGCCCTCAAGGAGCTTAGAATCTAATGGGAGAAGACAATGCACAAAAGGTGGAGGGAAGGGGTACTCAAAGCAGGGCCTTGATGGAGAAGTCATCATTAAATGGAGTTTATTTATTTATTGTGGCTTCATCCTCCAATAAGAGGGCCAGAGGGTAATGTGGAGATGTGAGTAGCAAGGCTGATTCAATCTAACGGTATGAAGAGGTTTTCCCAGTGATGAGTTTCCTGAAGCATGATGTAAAAGTCAGAAAAAATCCAAAACAGTGTAGTTATGGGAAATGAGCAGTTCCTAGCTCACTAGCATTAAACTAGTAGAAGACTTTGAAAGTCTTCATTAAAGACCTATGTAGACCTTTATTTTTACTTAACCATAATCCTCATCCTAAAATTGGAGGAATGTGAACAGATTCATTCCTAGACATGACAGTTTCACTCCCATGTTTCATTATTTCTTTCTTCCATTCTTCTACTGTTCAGTGACACAGCTCCATTTCCAAGGGTCTAACACAGGCATTTCTCTTCTAAACATTTCAAGATAATCACCCACAATTGGGAAGTCTCTTCCCTTCCTCTGAGCATTCCAAGCTCCCCCTTTCTGTACTGGCAGCTGCCAAGTCTTATATGATCCTGACTGTGGCACCTCAGTACTTGATCTCTTTCTTTCTGGATGCTTGTAGCATTTTGTCTGGGACCTGAAAGTTCTGGATTTGGGCCATGATGCTCCTGAAAGTTTTCATTGTGAGGTTTATTTCAGGAGGTGGCCAATAGATTCTTTTTTCTATTTTCACTGGGCAGTATTTCTTTATGATTTCTCAAAATATGATATCCAGGTTCTTTTTTATGGTCATGGTTTTCAGGTAGTCTTCAGGTTCTTAAATTATCTCTCCTTGATCTGTTTTCCAGGTCAGTTGTTTTAGATGTGGGATATCTTATATTTATTACTATCTTTTCAGTCTTTTGACTTTGTTTTTCTATTTTATGTTCTCTTCATGGAGTCATTAAATTCTGTTTGGTCCATTCTGGTTTTCAAGTAGTCCATGATTTGGGTTAAGTTTTGTACCTCTTGTACTAAGCTGTCAGTTCTCCTTCTAGTCTCTTCCAAAGTACTCATGTATTTTCCAGTTATTTCCTCTAGTATTCTCATTTCATTTATAAAATCATTTTCACTTTTTTTTAACTCTTGCTTCATTTATTCTGGGAAATTATAGTTGACCTTGCATCCAAGCTGGGTTTTTCTTTGAGGCTTTTCTTGTAGATGTTCTGAAATTATTTTCATCTTCTAGGTTTGTGTCTCAAAGGAGATGATATTTTCAGTGTACCTATCACAGTGCCTGCACACAATGGATACTTAATAAATGTCCTTTCTTCCTTAAAGTAGGAGAGGTTGTTTTTTTTGTTTACTCATTCTTCCAGCTATACTTCCTGAATTGGGACTTTGTGTTAAGGTCAGATCCTAAGCATTTAAGGAGGGAATATCTGGGCCTTTTTTGGTCTTGATTTGCCTTGTCTGAGGTCCTGCTACTTTTTTCTCTGGGTGTTGAATGCTGTGTTCTTCAACAATCTCTGGGGCAGCTCAGGCCAGGGACCTGCAAACTTTTAGTGTACTCAAAGTTGCTACCCTCCTGTTCTGAGCTTTACTAGCTCCTAACCCTGGTGTGGGTCTAGGTGATACAAATGTAGGCTTGCCCTTGGTTTGAGTTCCAGTAAATTGCTGATGGCCCCATCTTCTGTCAACTAGCTAAAGGGATCTATCTGTAGATTCACAACTACAGAATTACAGGCTTCCCCTTGGTCTGCACTATCTGACCTGGTTACTTGGCTTTTGGCCTCAAACTGAGCTGGGGGCTGAATGTACAACCACTCTTCAGGGTCAAAACCATGTAACTGCTGCTTTTTTCTGCTCCTACTGCTGCCTTAGGCCCAAGTTTGCAGTCCACCAAAACCCCCAGATCTTTTCCATGTAAATTGATATTAAGTCATTCTTTTCCTATCTTAAATTTGTATAGTAGATATTTTTAACCAAAATGTAGACTTTACATTTTTCCTTATTAAATTTCTTCTTCTTAGATTCAGCCCAACAATCTTTCCTTTTGAGCTCTTTTTGAAAACTGTGTCTGTCATCCAAAATGTTATCTGTCCTTCCCAGCTTTGTGACATCTGCAGATTTAATGAATATGCCATCTATGCCTTAATTTAAGTGATTGATGAATTGTGTTAAATGGCAAAGGGCTCAGCATCCCTGGGGAACTCTACTAGACTTCCCTTTCCACTAACATCAACTCATTTACCCTTTTCATCTGGTCTAACCACCAGTTATGAATTCTACCCAACTGAACATCTGTCCAGCCCTTATGTCCTCATCTTGTTCACAAGGATAACATGAGAGACTTTGTACCATGGTAAGCTGAAATTTAGGTAATCTATAGCCACGGCATTCCATTCCTAAACTAATTAACTCAATTTTTTTAAAAAATTGGATCAGTCTGGCCACACTTATCCCTGATGAAGACATCTGGTCACTTAGTGGTCACTACTCCCTTTTCTATAAATTCACAAATATATTCTGTGTGTGTGTGTGTGTGTGTGGCAGTTGGGGTTAAGTGACTTGCCTAGAGTCACACAGCTAGTGAGTGTTATGTGTCAGGCCTGATTTGAACTCAGGTCCTCCTGACTCCAGGGCCGATGTTTTATCCACTGCACCACCTAGCTGCCTCTAGTATATTCTAATATTTTTCCAAGAACCAAAGTCAGGCTCATGGGCCTAGGTTTATAGGTTCCATTCTCTTCCCTTTTTCAAGTTAGAACATTTGCTCTTCTCTAGCTATGTGCTACCTCTCCTGTTCTCCATAGTTGTTCCTCTTAACCTCATTGTATGCATTCTCATTCTGTATAGAATTCCTGTGTAGACATAAAGTTCATTGAATCAGTAAGCATTTATTTAGCAGCTTCTATTTGCCAAGCACTGTGCTAAATTTTGGGGATACAAAGAAAAGCAAAAACAGTGCCTTGCTCTCAAGGAGCTCACAGTCTAATGGGGGAGACCACATGCAATTGATTATGTACAAACAGGATATGAATTGGAGAAAATCGACAGAGAGAAAACATTAGCATTAAGAGGCATTGGAAAAGGCCCTTAGAAAGTAGAATTTTAACTGGAACTTGAAGGAAGCCAGGAAAGCTAGGGGGGAGAGATGAGGAGAGAGAGCATTCCAGGCATAGGATCCAGCCTGAGAACACGCCCAAAGTAGGGAGATGGGAATGACCAGAGAGACCAGTGTCACTGCAGTGACACTGTGCAGTGTCAGAGCACGTGGGGAAAAGTAAGGAGAAAGAAGACCAAAAAGGTAGGAGGGGCTGGGTCATGAACTCCAACGGAGGAGTCTACATTGGATCCCGGGTGTGACAGCCAATTAGATGGTTAGACCAAACCTTGACCTTCATTCAACTCCTCCGTTCTACTTTGTACTCTAGGAGGTCAGACTCTGGGCTTTGGGGCCCTAGGTCCAGAAGGACTCTGGGAGAGAGGAACACTTTTAACTTTCATGAGAGGTGCAGAGGTAACCTAGTGTCCTTCTCCTGATTGCTTCTGCCACTACTGGTGCAGGCCAGGGTTACTGCCCTTGGTACTAAAGGCCCACCTTCAGTAGGATGAATTGTTCATCCATTAATGAGGACAAGTTTGCATTGAGTCCTCCATGTCTTACTCCCTTATAACCTGCAATTCGTCTCAGTCAGTTACTAAACACAAAGTGCATATTATGTTCCAGGCACCATACTAAATAGTGGGGACACAAAGAAAGGCAAAAGCACCGCCTCTGCTCTGCAGGAGCCTACGTTCTAATAGGGAAAAGAGCATGCAGACAACTGTGTGCCAACAAAATATCAGCGGGCTGGATTGGTGATAATCAGGAGGGAAAGGCCCTAGAATTAAGGCCGCTTGGTAAAAGCTTTCTGTAGAAGAAAGCACAGGTATGCTTGATGCAGTGCTGGACGAAATGAGGGATATGCTGTGGGGTTAAAGCACTGAATTTTCTCTGTTCAAAACTAATTGGCTTGTGTGGGGAGCCACTTAAGACTGTAGCGCCATTTTCATCTAACCACCCAAAGTTAACTAACCCAGGCTTTTAGATCTGTAGTTAATGCAACTACACAGTCACATTTGGATCCTTTTTTCTCCTTGACTGTCAAATTGACTTTCTGTCCACATGACCTGTCCCACTCACACCTCTGCTCTCCTTAGTCTGATTGCCCTCTGACAGTGAGAACACGTCTCCTCCCTCTTCTGCATCCTCTCAAAAAGACTGGCGAGAACTTAGATCATAGGAACCAGTCAGGGTAGGGTGCGGGGTATCAGCTCCAGAAAAATGCGTCTTTCTCACACAAAGACTAATCTATGCTTAGACCAGAACCAGAAAATTCACTTGGGATCTCTAGACTCATCACTGATTACTTCTCCTCTCAGATGGAGCTGGAGTCCTGGGGACCCTCAGTATTAACTGAGATTCACAAGAAGGGCAAAATAACCTACAGAAGACCTTGTGACCAGTCCAGCCAGCTTGTCTCTGAGGACATTGTGTGGCAGCAAGAGATAAGCTGGGAGAAGGCAGCCTGGCAGCTAGGAGTTGCCATGTACCCCTTCTTGAAGGTAAGGTCATATAGAACAATTAGAGGACAGAATCAGTAGGAGCTCCACAGGTTGGCCCTTCTAGGACAAATTGGGGAGAGTTGCTAGGGCTGTTGGCAAGGACAGAAGCTGGGGGCAAAAAGTGAGATTCAAGGTTTTTACAATTCCAAGGGGGAATAACGGACAGGATGGTTTTTGATTTGGGGGAAAGTATGCAAAAGGCACCTCATGTCTTTCTGTTACTCCCAACACCGAGCACTAGAATAGAAAATACGGCCCTATCAGAAGCCCTCATTTCCTTACTGGCCAGCCATCCCATCTCTTTGGGATGTTGGCTGCCTCAGGTAAGGAAATTGGGGTCCTAGTTAGTACTCAAAATGTATACAGATGGGAATCCTTAGGCCCTCTGTGGGAAGTCACCTGGAATAGTAAAATTATAGAATGTGAGACTTGGAATCAGCCTTAAGGGTCATATTGTCCCCACCTAATCCATGAATCTCCTGAGTGACACCCTCCTACCAAGGGTTCTCAGACTCTGTTTCAGCACCTCCAGTGGCATTTCACTATCCCTGAGGTAATCCATGCCATCTTATGCCAGTCCTTTTACTGAGTCCAAACCTGCTTCAAATTACCATCATTGATCCTAGCTTTGACTTAAGGAAATGGGCCTAGTCCCTCTTCCACACAGCAGCCCTCCAAAGAAACTTCTGGGCAGCTATCAAGGCTACTGTTCAATCTTATCTGTAAAACGTCCCCAATCTTCAGCCATTCCTCACGTGGCATTGTTTTCTGTTCCCTTGTCACTCTGACTACCAGTCTCTTAATGTGCTCCAACGTGCCAAAGTCTCATTTAAAAATGGCTTCTGGCCCTAAGAACATAGAGGAGCTATCCAATCCTTTGTTTTAGACATTGTAGTTTTAAATAACTTTAACTTTTATTTACAGCAACAGAATTATCTTGATTCTTTGAGCTTGAGTCAACTAAACCCCTGTCTTTTTTTCACATGAATTGCTGACTGTTGTTTTCTCCTTCCTATATTTGTATAGTTTATTTTTAAAAATCTAAGCATGTGACGTTATACTTTGTTATTAGTAAATTTAATGTTGTCAGATTGACCCATCTTTTTCACCTGATTAACCTTTTCAGTTCTGCCATCCTTCCCATATTTGTGTTGCCTGCAAATCTGATGGCCAGACCCCATTTAACTGTACATATCTCTCTTCTCTGGTCCCAAGACCATCATAAAAGACTTTGTTAAATGACTTGCCAGAACCTCAATATATTAAGTGTGTAGCACTCCCCTGAGCCCACTCCCCCCCAGGAACCTCTATTAAAAGAAAATGAAGTAAGGTTGGAATCATCTATTCTTGGTGAATAACTGTCAGCTTGTGATGGGGCTTTTCTTTCTCAGTGCTCACCAACCATATGTTAAATAATCTATTTTAGAATTTTGCCGCGGGCTAATACCAAGCTTATCTATGTAGAGGTTGCAGAACCTATCTTCTTTTTCTCATTAAAAACCTGGACAGGTGGTCTCCAGTTTTCCAGTACTCCTTCCATTCACCACGTTACCTCAAACATCACCAGCAGTGGCCCCTGGATCACACCTGTGAAGTTTTTTTCTGTATCTTAGGTTGTGCTTTATCCAGGCCAAGAGCCATGAACCAACATTCATCTATTGAGCTGCCTACCCCTTTTCTTTCTCTAAAGGATCCTTTGCTATTGTATCATCGGAACATAATTTTTAAGAGGCTGACCTGCTTTTTCAGCCATCTTTCCTATCTATAAGGAGTGTATAAGGACTCTCTAGGAATGACATCATAACTGTTTTCTCTACAATTTTTTAAATAATAAATTTGCTCTTTATTTTAGCAAATAAACTTTTTTCCCAACCATTCACTGCCTTTGCTCCTATTATCTTGTTGCTGAACAGAGCTAGAGAAAAATAAAGCTTTGTTTATTGAGTCAGTTGCAGATTTTTTTTATGTCATTTCAACTGGGCCCTCCCTGCAACAAAACAATCCTTTTGTACCTGTTTTCTTCTAACTTTTAGGACATTCTCCTTAATAAGTTTCTCTTCCCCAACTGCTGCCCTCATACTAGGACACATATATATAAATATATATATATATATATATATGTATATGCATATATATGTATATATGTATGTATGTATATATGTATGTATATGTATATACACACATGTCTGTGTATATGTATATATACACACACACATATACATATATACGTATATATGTGTACATACATATTGATGTTCATTCAAACACCCTAACCTCATAGTTCCTCAGCTCACCTGCCATGACTTAGTACTCCACCTCAGCTGATCTAAACACAAAGATGGTCATACCCTTGATCTTGCCATCACCCACAAATGCTCTATTTCCATGTTTATGAACTCTGAAATGTCTTTCTCTGATCACAGTCCTGTCATTCCATTTCTTCCTCTACCTTGTAATCCTTAACCCTGGTCTTCATCCTCACCATGACCTCCAATCTCTTGAACCCTTAGTTCCTTCCCAGGCCATCACTAGCTACACCCTACTCCTCCATCTTGACCCTTTGTGAATTGGTTTAACTCTACATTGTCCTCTTGTCTCAAGTCCCTTGCTCTTTCTATCATTTCTGATTGTGCTATACCAAGCCTCAGCCTTGAACTACTCCCAGAGAATATGGGAGACAGTAGGTATAAGAAGAATGCAAAGGTAGAAAGGGGTCAGGCTGCTGAGAGCTTTGAAAGCCAAAGAGAGAGTTTTACAAATGATCCTGGAGATAATATGGAGCTATTGGAGTTAATTGAATAAGGAAAGGAGTAACATTTTAGGAAGATCAATTTAATATCCAAGTGGAAGATGGACTAGAATGAAGAGAGGCTTAAGTCATGGAGATAAAACAAAAGGCTGTTGCAATAGGCTAGGCATGAAGTAATGAGGGACTGCATCAGAGTGGTAGCAAGGAAAAAGGAAAGATAGGGGAAAGTGGGACATGGATGAGAGATATCATAAAGATAGAATCAACAGGACTTGCTAACAGATTCGGTGGGGGGGGGGCGGTGAGAGGGAGGGAGGAGTCAAGGGTGCCACCTAGGTGTGTAAGACTCGGTGACTGGTGGTGCCCTCAAAACTAAAAGGGAAGCCAGGACGAGGGGAAGGTTTGTGGGGAAAGATAATGAGTTCAGGTTTGCACGCGTTGAGTTTAAGATGCCTGTAGGATTTCCCGTTGGATCTGTCAAACAGGCTGTTGGGTATGTGCATCACCTTCTTTCTTTTGACATTATCACCCCACCCTGGTACAGGCCCTCCTCACCTCGCACCTGGACCGTTGCATTAGCTTTCTGGTTGGTCTCCCTGCCTCAAGTCTCCCCTCAATCCAGCCCATCCTCCACTCAGATGCCAAAAGGATCCCCCTAAAGTGCAGGGTTGACTGTCACCTTCTTACTTGGTCTAAGTTCAAAGGCTCCCTGTTCCCTTCAGGATCAAATGTAAAATCCTGTTTGTTTTTTTAAGCCCTCTTTGATTCCAGCCATTCAACCTGTCTCACATCCATCCAGCCCACACTTTTCCATCTTTTCCTCAAAGCTTGCATAAAAGAATTTGTTGGGGCAGTTAGGTGGCACAATGTCAGGCCCTGAAGTCAGGAGGACCTGAGTTCAAATTGGCCTCAGACCAAACACTTGACACTTACTAGCTCTGTGACCCTGGGCAAGTCACTTCACCCCAGTTGCCAAAAAAAAAAAAAAGAATTTGTTAAATGCTTTGCAAAAATCTAGACAAACTATATAGAGCATCCCCTGATCTATCAGCCAGAACACTGTCCAAAAAGGAAAGAAGGTAGTTCTGGCAATACTTGTTCTTGATAAATTCATGTTGCCTCTTTGTGACCATCTTCTTATTATCCAGGCTTAGAGCTAAATGTACGTATTCTCTCCTTCCTCTTCCATCGTGAGTTAGTCCAACAGTTAATTTCCTCCCAAATACACTCTTCTCAGGCCTCATCCTCATGAGATACATTCACACCTAACCAATAGCCCATCATTCCAGTATTTTAAGGCCTTGGTCCAAAAAATAAAATCCCACTCTTTCTTTGATGACATCTCCCTAGCCAACTATTTCCTGTCCACATTTTCTTTTCCGTTCCTCCAGTCCTCATGGAAGAAATGATGAAAACATGACCTGTGCCCTCAAGTCTTTCAGGTTCTTACCCAGGAATTTAGAGGCCTTGCAGATGCCTTCCGCGTGTTTTGTGATGATACAATTTTCTACACATCAGTTACCAGCCTTTGGGTTTGATTCATCTCATGTTCTCTGCTGTGTTCCAAATACATGCTAGAAATAACCCCCAGACAGAGACAGCTGATGGACTCAGAGGACAGACTGAAGCATGTTCTTTCCTTTCCTCTCCTTTCTGGTTTACATGGCCAAATGCCGGAATTTGTTTTGCTCGACTATATGATTGGGTTTGTTTTTCTTGCTTTTTCATTGGTGGGGAGAGAGGTAGAGGAGGTGGGAGAGAATTCAGAGCTGAAAATAAGATTAAATTTTTAAAAATTAAAATAAAAATGACTAATCATGACAACGGACACTGATATAGTCCTGCATGGCCTGCACAAAGCACTTTGCATGCATCCTCTAGTAGGATTCTCACAACTGCCTAGGGAGGTGAGTGCCACAGGTGGTATTGTCCCCCCCTGACACGTGTGGAGTTTGAGGGTCAGAGGGATGAAGTGGCTCATCCACAGTAACGCAGAGGTGGAGGGAGTCTCCACAAATCCAGGCCTCCTGTGATTCCAGGCCCAGCTTTCCCCCTCTACCAAGAAACTGCTTCTTAGATGCTTTTTCTCTTGGCCACATCCAGTGTCACTCCAATAGACGTGGGCAGGGAGTTGCCCACCACCACAAAGCATTTCTTCGTCCTTGGCCAGTAACTTCATGCTGGTTGCTGTGCATCACCCACCTCCTTCCATTGATCCTCGGATCCTGCTTTCGCCTCAGAACATCCAGGAAAACCCTCCATTGTTTCTTTTTCATCATTAATTAAATTATTAGTAATTTCATGATGAAAGTCCATGTCCACAACCACAAGTCTTGTTCTGCGTTTGGAGCCTATTCCATACTCTGTGCCGGGGGTGAGGCTCATCATTAGTCTTCCGAAGTCATGGTTGGTCATTGCACTGATAGGAGTGCTTAAGTGTTCCCATCAACCTTCTGTTCTGATCTTTCCCCTTTTCCCTTGGGTTACACTCTCCCACTATCAGCCTCTCAACCTTGATGTTGATCACCCGTTGCCTCTTCAGAACATTTTCCTTCATGAATTTCCTCCTTCTTGAATAATTTCTTCCATCCACTCAAAGAGCTTTTTATCCTCACTAAAAACTGGGCCTAGACAAGTACTGGTCAAGCCCAGTCACCTTCTCTGTAAGTGAGGAGACTTGTTTGCACTTCAGAGTCATAAGCCTAAGTGATTTCTTTGAGGAGAAAAGATCTAACAGACCAGCTAGACAATTGCCTTGTTTTCCCTGAAACTATACTGGAGGGTTACAGTTCTTTGCAGCATCCCCTGAAAACTCCAGTATCTAACTACTCCCAACAAACTGCCTTTTTGCTGCGATGTGCATGTTAGTACTACTGGCTCTGAGGCTGCAGCCAGAGTCTAGCATTTCCCTTCTGGGCCTGAAGAGGCTTTACCCTCCTATCTCCCAGGTCACCTACTTGCCTCCTATCAAAGCATTTGAACAAGCCAGGACTGAAAACAAGCTGGTGCACTCCATCGTGCTCTGGGGATCCCTGGATGATCAATCCTGCTTTGGTGAGGAGTCTCACGATCTAGAGGACTCAGCAAGTGGAGGGGGCGGGGAGGAGACTGTCACTGTTCCCCAGCATTCTCTCAAGTATAACATCCTACTGTTGGGAACAGGTCCTGGGCAGGGTCTGCGAGACATAGTATTGGGAAATTCTCTCATCCTCACTCTTCTCAAGAACAGTTTTATCAGCAGCTGGTCTCAAGTGCATGAGCTGCATGAGATTCAGGTGAGCAAGGGTAGGGTTGCTGACTGCCCAGCCAGAGCAAGCTTTGAGGAGGTCTGTCAGTGCAAGGAGCTGAGAAAAGAGGTTCGTATCCTCTTGTTTGCCTCCAGAACAACCAAGATAATGAATCTCACCAAAAGTTAGCTGAACTCCTCCTGGAGAAATACGACTCCCCCGTGAAGATGCTTCTCTGCCTGCCCAATGGGACTGTGGTTTGTGCCTCTCTCCTGCCCCCTCTGCCTGCCCACTTTCCACAGCCTCCCTGTTGATTCAGTAAATGCTAGTATTGATTTTGCACCTACTGTTTGCAAAGGAAACAGGATATACTTTCTCTGATATCATAGGTGTCGAGGCCTTAAAGGACGGGTAGAAATTGTTAATGTATAGGGTGACGGGAAGTATATTCCAGGCAGGGAACCCTGTGTGCATCAAGGTGGAAATGAGTAGAAGGCAGTGAGAAGAGAAACCGAGGCAGATTGGCTGAGACTCTGAAAATCAAGGAAGGAGTCTGGCTACATGATGTGATTGTAGGTCCTTGAACCAGAGAGTGATGTTGTTGGCAGGGTGCCCCTGATGACGTCTCTAGTTCTATCCCTTCCCACTCCCCTCTAGTGCCTCACTGGAAGTATTAGTCACTACCCAAGAAGAGAGGAAGAGGAGAAATGGGAGCTGAGGAGGGGGCCAGGAAGGCCAAGAGCAGGAAATAGATGCCCTCTGCCTGGCTCAGAGGAGCTGGCTGGGAGAGGCCCCCGAGAGTTATAAAACTGGCAGATCATCCATAATTCTCTCAAATATGATCCCTCTTCCGGATCCACTGGCAATCATCTCAGTTACAAATAAACATTTATCAGGCACCTACTGTGTGCAATGGCCCTGTGCCAAGGACTGGGAATACAAACGTCTGTTCAATTGAATTTCAGGTCCACGACCTAAGCGCTGATGATCTGTACCAAGTGTCAGAGGAGAGGAGCAGCGGACTTGTGCACCCAGTAATGGTGTATAAACAGTTCCTGCAGGAAGGACTTTTCCGAGCTCGGCCCTTTCTTCACAGAAAAGCCGGAAGTTCCTGTGAAAGGAATTAATGGGCAGAGCAAGGCTGGGTTCCAGAGAAGAAACAAGTTCTGAACCTCAGTGCAAGCCCAGGAGTATCTTTGCTCAGTTGACCCCTACTGATTATCTTCTCTGATGTCTTACAATCTCCCAAGACGTGTTTTCTCCCAGAACTCAAGCTGGTCTGAGTCACATCTCTAGTAGCACCTCTGGGCATTCCACCCAACATCTGCCCTCCCCTCCTCCCTTCCCCAGTTATTTTCATATTCTGTGTTTCTGTGGTTCATATAATTGTGGCACATTCTGGTTACAAAATGATTCTTTAAAAACAAAAATCCAATAAAGTGATTTGGCAAAGAAAACTTCTCTTCGTTTATTTACCTGGGACTTAGTCATCAATTGTCCTCTTTCTAATCTGTTGATCCCTCCCCTAGCTTTGCTTCTGGATGGAATGAAATTTTTTTAAAAATACTGTTATAAGATTGGACCTGATGACCTTGAGGCCACCATGACAGTCTCCCCTTAGGAGAGACCGTAGCTTATAGAATCTATGCATGGAAACCATTGTTAAGATCTAGACCTGATGGACGTGAGGCTATCATGAGTCTCCCTTAAGGGAGGCTATAAGCTTATAGAACACACTCATGGAAAAGTACTGACAATAGCATTTTTTGAAAGTTAGTATAGCTGTGTCCCCCAAATAACATTTTGTTTCTACCAGCATGTTTTCCCCCTGATATGCAAATCCCCCAAATGAAATTTTGCCCAGATGCCTGACAGGCAACTCAGCCAGCTCTAGGGGGCCACCCAAAATCAGAGTATAAGAACCCCACCCCCTTCCTGATGAATGGACTTGTGTCTCTGTGCTCCCCGACACAGCACTGCCCTTACGTGAGCTATACTGTGTGTTCGTGAGTATGCCTGAGTTACATGTTGGGTGCCCTTTTCCCCTTTCCCCTTCTCCTTCTCCCCAACTGCTTGCAATAAAGCTTTGCATTGAATTGATTCCTATTGCTTCATGTGTTATACTCAGCATCTCAAGTCTCTGGTTTGCTCACAGGCCTTTACTTAAACATAAACTGAGTGCCAGGACAGAGACTCAACCAATTGACATCCACATCTACGCTGCGGGAGTATGACATTTGTAATAGAAAGCAAGGACCCATAGGGGAACCCTACAGCTCAAGGAGCCCCCTAATATAAGTGATAGTGATTTCAAAATTCTAATCTGGGCAGAGCCAAGATGGCCGAGTAAAGACAAGGACTCACCTGAGCTCTCCCAAATTTCCCTCTAAATAACTTTAAAATAACGCCTCAAAACAAATTCTGGAATGGCCAAACCAACAAAAGAGTGAGGTAAAATAATGTTCCAGCCCGAGACTATTAAGAGGGTCAGCAGGAAAGGTCTGTCTCATGAGGATGAGAGCAAAGTGCAGGCTGCCGCTAGCAAGCCAGCAGCAGGCTTTGGGCGAGTAAAATCACAGCAGAGGCTTCTGGAACTCTCAGCCCACAAACAGTAAGGAGGTCAGACAAGTGATCAGAATGAGATTACAGGGGACACTTTGCTAGCACTGGGTGCAGGACTCTATTGCATTGTCCAGATACAGATCTGGTCACAGTCCCTGGCATACTAGCATACTGACACACTCCCACGGGGGAACAGGGACTGTGGTCACAGTTGCAAGATCAGAGCACAGGCCAGGAGAGCAGTGACCACACCTCTCCTCAGATCACACCACCTCATAAAAGCTGAAAACTTGTAGACCCCCTACAACTAACTCTGAAAACAGCAGCATGAAAAACTTGAGGTTTGAGACAATGCCCCCTCCAAGCCGGGAGCAGAGCCCTCCTTTAACATAAACCTAAAAGTCAAGAAATAGGCTGGAAAAAATGAGCAAAAAAAAAAAACCAAACCAAAGAACCTTACCATAGAAAGTTAGTATGGTGACGGGGAAGATCAAAACAAATTCAGAAGAGGACGACCATTTCAAAATGACTACATGCAGTCTCAAAGAAAAATATGAATTGGTTTCAGGCCCCCTCTCCCCAATAAAGAATTCCTGGAAGAGCTCAAAAAGGATTTTAAAAACCAAATAAGAGAAATAGAGGGAAAATTGGGGAAAGAAATTAGAATGATGCAAGAAAATCATGAAAAGAGAGTCAATACCTTGGTAAAGGAAGCACAAAAATACACTGAAGAGACCAGTGCCTTAAAAAGCCAAATTGGTCAAATGGAAAAGGAGGTACAAAAGCTCATTGAAGAAAGTAATTCCCTAGAAATTACATTTGGGCAAGTGGAAGCTAATAACCCTGTGAGACATCAAGATGAAAAATGCTATCCATCTCCAGAGAAAGAAGTGATGGAGTCTGAAAACAGGTCAAAGCCTACTTTTTTTTACTTTATTTTTCTTGGCAACTTGGTGTTTTGGAGTTTGTTTTGTCTGCATTTCCTTTCACAACATAGCTAACAGGGAAATATGTTTTGCATAACTGCATGTGTATAATCTATATCAAATCACTTACCTTCTCAAGGAAGGGAGGGAAGGAGAATGAGAATTTAGAATTCAAATTTTTAAAAAACAGATGTTAAAAATTGTTTTTATGTATAATTTGAAAAAATGAAATATAAATTTTAAAAAATTCTGGTCTGAGGTCTATTGAAGTCCCCAAACACCTCTGGTTTTTTCTAGCCTAGTCTTTATCAAACAGGCTCCCTAGTTATTCCCTAGTAATTCCCCCTCTTCTATCCTAGTAGCCCATCCTCCTCTGCTACACCTCTTCTAGGACCTCCATGTTTGAAAATTTCTGTAATTGGAGCATTATAGACTAGAAACTTTTAATTTCCTAACTGATCAGTGATTCCTGTTAGCTCAGGTATAGAAAACCCACCTCACTCTCCTGAAAGGGACTCCTTCTCCTCCCTGTAAAATATGTGAGCAGCTTTGATCCAGGCATTTCTCTAACCACAGCTACACTGAAGTGTGGACCCATGGATCTTATGCCATCATGGATTCCTTCCTTTGTTGACTCAAAGATCATCATGCCCAAGGCTTCCTAATGGCAGCCCTTCCCCTTCTTAGTTCCATTTTGGAGGTGTTAGTCTTAATCCCAGTGTAAGAGAGGTTGGTGGGCTGCCACACTTTTAAGATATCAGTCTTGGCATCAGTGGATCATTGGACTGCCTTACTACCCCTTCTCTTGTTTTTCCCTGCCTCCTTTTCCTTAGTGTGTTTCTGATGAAGCCACAGGGCCTTCCATTTTAGCTTTTTCTTTAAATGGCCCAAATAACAGGGGCCTGTTACTTATAGGATCGGTTGGTTAGTCAAAATCTTCTGCAGAGCACTCTTCCTAGCAATGATGTAAGGCTTTGAAAACCTATACCAAACATCACCAAAAAGCACTTGGTAGGCCCCTTTAAGGACCACATAGGGGTAGTGATATTGGGCATGATGGTAGCTTTGGGTCATTTAACCAACTGGATGAAGGACTTCCAAAGAAGCACAAAAATGGGAGAGTACACCTTCCCCTTAGTGCATTAATCCAATTGCCAAAAGTCTAGAGAGGCTGTGGAATGTGTAAGAGCACTGAAGTAAGAATCAGAAGACCTTGACTCCTGCTATGAATCTTACAGAAGCTGGTTATACATACCTATGTTTCTAGCAGGGACTGCAACCTAAACCACTCAGTTTAGCATGTAGCTCTGAATATTTAAGTCACTTAACCTGTCTGATTAAACCTTCAGTTCTCCCTTTCTATAAATTATTGCCGGTACAGGGGCAGTTCCTCTTCCCCCCTCCCAACTGTGGTCTCCTAGGGGAAAAACCTGAAGAGAAGACCTGGAAAATTAGTAAGGGAGGGAGTTTATCAGGGAAGTTCCCTGATTAGTAAAGCCAAGAAAAAGCTACAGTGAGTCATTTTTCCAGAGTATCTTGGCTAGAGGAATTAGGTCTGTAGACATAGGGGATGGGATCTGGCTAAGATTGTGTGTGGTACGAAGCATTTAGCACCAAGGAACAGAGAGAGGGGCAAGACAGGGCACCAGGGCCGAAAGCATAAGGCAGAGGATCCCTGGGGGATCAATGGGGGCAGGAATGGGCACCATCTGGTGATTCCATCACTCCACCCAGTTCTGGGTCACTGATCCAGGGAAGAGAGGACCAGTTGTGAGCATTCCCCCTAGTTGTATACTGAACAAGGAACAAGTTCAGAAACAGTAGTTGTATGAGCCTGGTCCTAGGGGCAAAGTGGCTCAGTTCTAGTGTGTAGCCTGGCATATAAACCTGCAGTGGAAAAGGAGGCAGGAGTCATGGACCAAAGGGGAGCCAGCAGTTCAGTTGCTCTGAACCTACAGCAAGCTAACAGCGACTGAGCCCGGCAGCAGTTTACTGACACTCAACCACACGGCAACAGACCCAAATCTGGATCAGGAACTTAAATAGCTCAGACCAAGAGGGCAATGAACGGATCTCACTCCCAGATCACATCACTTTAGCAATGCTGAAAACTTGTAGGCCCTCAGCCTAAGCTGAGAAAGCTGCAGAAGGATGTAAGAAGAACAACGCTCAATCCAGACATCCCCCCACATCAGAAGTGTGCAGAGACCAGCACTAACAAAGTCCAAAGTCAAGTAGACTGAAAGAACAAGCAAACAAAGAATACCACCGCAAAGAGCTATTATGATGACAGGAATGCTCAAGACACCAACACAGAAAAAGAGAACAACTCGGGAAAATATACAAGCAAAACCTCAAAGAAAACTGTAGCTTGGACACAAGTCCAACGAGAATTTCTAGAAGAATTAAAGCGAAGTTTTTTAAAGAGCTAATAATGATTTTAAAAACCAAATGAGAGTGTTAGAGGAAGAAAATGGGAAAAGAAGTGAGATCTAGAGAAAAAAGATATATCTTACCCACCAGGGAAATAGGAGGGAAAGAAAAAAAGAGAAATGAGAGGGAAGGAGGCCCAGGATTATAGGGAAGGTAGATTAAAGGAAGCATTACCTAGAATCTAAACAGAATCATAAAGAGGGGACAGGAAAAAAAAAAGAGAAGGAAAAGTGTAAGAAAATAGGATGGAGGCAAATACAGTTAGCAACCAAAACTATGAAGATGAAGGAGATGAACTCATCCATAAAATGGAAGAGGATGGCAGAATGGATTAAAAAACCAGAATCCCACAATGTTGTTTACAAGAAACACACCTGAAACAAAAAGATAAACATGGAGTTAAAATAGGAAGCTGGAACAAAATCTGTTATACTTCAGCTGAAGTTAAAAACAAAAGGCAGGGGTTCAAATCACGATCTCAGACAAAGCGAAAGCAAAAATAGAAATAATTTTAAAATATAAATGTGGAAGCTATATTTTGCTTTAAA